GGGGGTGGGGCGTAAAATTAAAAGTTTTAAAAAATAATATAAATGGAGATATGCAGGGAATCGAACCCTGTGCCTCTCGCATGCAAAGCGAGCGCTCTACCATATGAGCTACATCCCCAATTACGAATATACCTAGAGTTTATAAAATGGTTTTTATTTGTCACCGATTCAACTTCTCGTCGGCGGTCGGAGCGTCGTCTGCAGCGAGCGGTCGCCGGAGAGTGCTGGAGAGAGTGGATAAGGAACTCTCCAGAGGCAACTACGAGTCCGCTCTCTCTCTCATCAAGCAATCCAAGACCAATCCCCACGGCCTCCGCGCCTTCGGCTCTGTCAAACTGGTTCATCTCTCTCTCTCTCACGCCTGTGTTCTTCGAATTCTGGTTCATGAGCTGTTCTCTCCCGTTTTGCTCCGTTTTCCTGGAATTCTAGATTTTGGGCATTTTTCGGATCGATATATTTTGTGTTTAGGTTCCCAGGAAAAGTCCATTTTTCGATATCAATGGAAGCAATTCATCGGAGCTTCGATCTCTGGTCGATTCAGTTGTGGATTCCATCCGTGGATGCATCGAATCTACTTCCGCAGATGAGGTTCGTTCCTTCTCCTCCTCCTCCTCCTCATAATTTCTCTGTACTGAAAGATCCTTAAATCCGACTTGCCAATTAGCCTAAAGGGTTTTCGATTTCTCACTGTTTCTTCATGTTTTCTTGGCCAAATCGCTTCATCAGCATTTCTAGATGTTCATCAAACGGATTGAAGATTAGGTTTCTTCCTGAATTTTCAAGACTAATGACTCGGTGATACTGAGCCCTGAAGTTTACTAAGTTATGAGAACTACAAATTGAGAATTGCTATGTATGCATTTCTCTTCTCACACACAGGCATTCGTAGCTCGTTGAGAAAACGTGGAATCTGTTTCTGCAATTTCGTAGCATCTGTCTGCCCGAATTACTCATTAGGGTTTCGTATTCTGCTTGTTGGTTGAGCTTCCCTTGTTCTTCGGATTTCTTAACGAATATTTTCTTTGAATCTTTACTATCCTTAGGCCACAAAGTTAATAAACATACAAGAAATTATACTTTGTAAATGTCTATAAATCAGTGCTAATGCACATACATGACGGCGTATATGTGCACCTGGCTCGTTGTGTTGTGATTGATCAGTTCTTGCTCTACTGTTCTTGTTTAATCTGAGAACCATCCTGATATTTTGCTGATTTCAAATACATTCACAGTTTACTCGTTTTTATTTGCAGATATCATCAGACAAGAGACACAGTAAGGAAGAAACTGGATCTTCGAGTGAAGAACCAGCCGACCGGTTCATGGTTGTTCAGGTGAGGCAGGAATTATCTTGTTTCCAAACAGTATATGTTTGATTTATGTTCAGGTGTTTTTACCAGAAATCAAGGTTTCGGTGATTAGAATGTTTCTGCGGTTAATGTTTCGTATAATTGTTGTGATTGAAATTGTAGGAGCTGTTTGGAAATGTACTTAAGAATTCCAATCACGAGCAGTGCATGATACATTCAAATGCATTTGCAACCAAATATATCAAACAGTGCCTTTTTCCGAGAAAATGTTGATTGTTATTGGGTTAACGTTTTCTTGTGTATGCAGCATGAATCCGGTCATTTTCTGGTTGGATACTTGCTCGGAGTTCTGCCCAGACGCTATGAAATACCGAAATCGGAAGCTCTTAGGTGCAATGACTCCACCGTGACAGGAAGAGTAGAGTTTGTGGGCTTCGAGTTTCTAAAAGAAGTAAGTATTGATTCAAACATAACGAACAATAACCAAATGTAGAACCTGAACCCTGAGACGGGACACAGTCTCTGGAGCAGTTATCTTAACCGAAGCTGAATGTCAAAGCTCATCTATGGTTGTGTTCCAACCAGTATTTCTGTTCTTATTGTAGGTTGGGATCGCAAAACAGCTCATGAAAGACGATGTACTCTGCAAAACTTATCAGATGGTAATGCAGAGACGCATACTGTATAAGCTTTGACTCGGGAGAGTATAGATCACTGTAAATCACATCTTGTTTTTTACTTACCGTGCAGGAGACTAGAGGCAAGATCTCATCTAAGGTCAGAGTAATGATGTTTTACAGATTTCTCTATCGATTTCCAATTCAAAATACCGATTTCGTAAAACTGGCTCATCAGACAGAGACACTTCAAGAAATCTGTGTTCCAATGCAACGACTGACAACGTTTGCATGATTTTGATGCCATTCCTGTGTTGGTTTCTTGAAATGTAAAATGTAGATATTGAACAGCTTTTCATGTGTGATACTTGGAGGATTGGTTACAGAGCACATGCTGCTCGGATACTCAGAAGGTCTCCACTCCGATGTCGACAAGGTTTGATCCCATGGCTCTCACAAGTACCGTTTGGTTATAATAACCTATGAAATTACCCTTAAATTGCTGAACAAGCTCATCATCAATTTTATTATTTGTTGCAGTTGCTCAGTGTTTTGAGATGGTTGGGGTTCACAGAAACAGAGGCAAAATCACACATAAGATGGGCAGCTTCCAACACTGCATACCTCCTGCTTTCTCATAAAGACGCAAGAGAAAAGCTCGCTGAAGCCATGGCTATGTCCAAATCAGTTGGATATTGCATAGAAACAATTGAAACTGCCATTTTCAGACATCAAATCTGAAGTTTGGTTAATGTTCCGCTGCTTCATCCCTCATGTACCATTTTCAGACATCAAATTATCCACAGTTTATCCAAAGAACTACCGAACTGGAAGCGTCTGAATCAAGATCAAGGACATGATTCGGCTCTATGATTTCAAGATACCCCTTTGAACACATTTTCCGAAAGTCGCGCGTTCAGTCATTCTGATACGAAAAATTCCGGAACAAGACCCAGTCTATATTACAACCAAAAATATTGCACATTCTCCATCACAAACACCGGATGCAGTAAAGACTCAGAACTCTTGAGAAGCAGACCCAATGTCACCTTTGCCCTTCCCACTCTTGGACGGAAGAAGTGTCTGGTGAATGTTTGGCAACACTCCTCCACTGGCGATTGTTACGTTGCCCAGAAGCTTGCTTAGCTCTTCATCGTTCCTCACCGCAAGCTGAATGTGTCTTGGGACAATACGGTTCTTCTTGTTATCTCTTGCGGCATTACCAGCGAGCTCCAGAACCTGAAATCATCACAATTCCGAGTGAGCCAGAGACCAAGAACATGATGCAGACACATAAGACTGAAACTTATTGATTAATCAGATAGATTGGTCACAGTCCACTATGTTAAGACGATTCCTTATCGCGAACAAGTAACAAAGACGAGGATTGATTGCATATATAGATCAAGTACACATATACATGCATGAGACTTTTTTTGTTCTCCCGGAGCCTAATCAACCCAGGAAGACTTGAATCGGAGACTGTAGCATAAACCGAATCACAACACAGGCGATCCTCGTTTGACAGGAGGGTTTGAGAAAACACTAAATGCTAGAGACAGAGGACACAGATCAATAAACTTAGAAAGACGGAAGACCCCAGATCAAAGAACGACTTAGAAATGCTAGACTGGCCAAAACTTCTGACAAAGACATAAACCGTAGCCTTTACCAAAAAAGAACCCTGAACCATGAAAAACAATAAATCAACAGTGAGTAATTAAAAGGCACAATACCTCAGCGGCGAGGTACTCGAGGACGGCGGAGAGATACACCGGAGCTCCAGCGCCGACACGCTCTGCGTACTTGCCAGCCTTGAGGAACCTGGCGATTCTTCCGACAGGGAACTGAAGCCCAGCCTTGTGAGACCGAGATACCGACTTCGTCGCTTTTGGCTTTCCTCTCCCACCCTTCGTGGACCCAGTTCCACCACCCGAACTCATCTTCTTGTCCAATGAGGGAGAAGATCACAGGAGATTCGAGACTCTTCGGAGGAAATACACGGAATAGAGAAACTTGACGAGTGCCTGTAGAAATGGCGGAAGATGGACGGCTTGTTCTAGGGTTTATGCTCGTTTCAATTTATTTATAAAGAGGAGAAGTTAAACTCTGATTGGTTGAAAGGTTGTCAAATGGATTGCCAGCCTGGAATCTTCCCTCTGGGTTCTCGCGGTTCTTTTCCTTCAATTTCTTACAATCCTATTTAAGAAAAACTCTTAAAATCAAATTATCTATAAAAACCAAATTAATTTCATATATTTAAAAAATCCCAAAAATATCACATTATTAATGCATCTATTTCAATTATAATTTCAATATATATATATATATATATATATATATATGTTAATAATAAATTAATATTTTTGCGACTTCTTCCATGGCGACAGGATCAAAAAAATCTTTCTTTACTCTATTTCCCCCTTTTTCATGATGAGTGAAAAGAAGAGTTACACGTGAAGAAGAATTAGAAGAAACAGCCCATGAAACTAAATGGAGACTGTTGAAAACGAATATCCCATTAACGAGCTCGAGAGAGAAGACCGGAATGTTCCCTGAAACTGGAAACACACCACGAAGAAGCCAATTCTATTTAATCAGTCAAGTAAGCATCTTGGGTTAGTAAGTGAGTGATACCCCTCCCTCTCCATTGCCAAAACACGAGCAAGAAGATCATTGCATTCTCAACCTGCAAAAAAAAAAACCACCAGTATCAGCCTCTCTGCATAGAATTGTTCCTTATATATGCAGGAAATTGATAAATTGAAAAGAAAAAAAATGTCTTGCATAAAGTCTTGCCTTCTTCTGAGAAAGGGAAAACATCATCGTCGTTGTCGCCACCTTCATCAGATTCTTCACGATGGCATGGAGCATCATTGTCTGCTTCAGTAGCGTTTTCTGCGGGGTCAAAATTGGGCGATTCGTCACTCGTTCCCTCTTCTCGGGCATTCATGCTGAGATCAGAACGGTTAGAGCTTCCACTCGAAGCTTCACTTTCCCTGGCCCTGCTGCTGTTTCCAATTGTTATTTCAACGGGCAGAGGGGTGTCGATATAGTCAGTGTCGTTAGGGGGATTTTGATTTTGTATTTGTATATGTACTCCAGAAGAGGGATTGCTTCCTTTTCTCTCATCATTCTCAATGGCCAAGCAAGAAATCCCTAACGATTCAGCCAACGAAATATGTCAGCCATTCTCACTTGGTATGTTTTCCGACTGAGAAATGTAAATCTTAACTTGGATTCCGCAGTACCTGTCAGCAGATTTTCTTTTGCTTGATCAGGATCAGAAGATGAATCCGGGTACTTTTCCCCAGGAAGACCTCTGCAATATAACAAGGAAGTCACAAATTTCCGGACATAGATGCATAGGAAAGAATCAAGGCAACCAACAGTTTGAGTAAATTACCGGTTGCTCGAGTTGATACTGTGAAAATCATCGAACACAGGGAATGCCTTTCGCCTGATTTCAACCTCACTTGCAGATACCTTCTCAATTTCTGTCTCCCCACCGGAATGGTGAACACTTGAGTTCTCAACATCAGCCTCTCGTTGAAACATCGAATAGAAAGATATCTGACAAATATTTTTTTACAGAAATGTCAGGAACGGAGCCTTGAAAGTTGAAACAGTAGGAAAAAGACGCGTAAAATAGTTTGATCATGAGAACCTTAGAATTTTGCCAGATCGGTCTTCTTCCTGAGTTAATCTGCACTTCTGCATTGGCAAGATATACATGGTCCTTTTCTGGAGGCTTCACCAACTCCTTGTGTCCAATGTCATTATCCTCAATATCAGAAGCGTCTGTAGTAATATCTGCAGTTTCTCGTCGACCAAGAATAAGCTCATGTATGTTTTCCTCTATTTCTGGCCAATCAGTTCTTCGACAGACATCCCAACAATGCACTGGTTCAACTTTCATCCGCAACTCCTCATCAGAGGTTGACACAGAAGCTGCTCCAACTCTTGAGTAGCTTTGAGCCGGGTCTCCTCCAAGTTGTGGCACGATTTTGTATTGAACCACATGACCAGACGGAGTGTAAACCAGTAAATACTCCAAGGCATTAGCTGACAATGACTCGTTAGGTACAGATTGATGGAAAACAGCAGCAATGGCACCGGAGGGAAAAGATGGTATCCCCGCAACTGAACTCGCAGCTTGGAAGAAATTGTTGCTTTTGATTCGGCTAATTACAGTCAGATTTACAGACGCTGGCGGTGTAAGAGAAATGGGGTTGGTTGTGAATGATGAACTCGACCACCACGGCAGGGACACTGATGGTGCAAGTGAAGGTCTATCGCCATGAGAATTCTGTATTTCAAGAACATTTTCTCCACCGAAAGGGGAAAGAACAAAAATGTGGCATGTACCCTTGGATGAAACAATAGCAACCCACTGACTATAATGACTAAAACAAATATCTTGCACTACCTGCGAGAATAACAACATAGGTCTTGAGTACGACGATGCAAGAGGATGGAAAGAGTTTCACAATAAAAAAATGGAATACAGACTTACCGCTGATGTCATACCACGATGCAGTTTGTAGAGGTGTACATGAGAAGAGCTCCAATCATAGGTTTGGGTGCCTGATCCACTCTTTGTGGAAGATGGCATAATCCGAAAGATATTTATATTGTTTCCGTGGATTGATGCAGTGACTAGCAGAGTGCCACTTGGATCAAAACACAGAGCAGATAGTGGACTAGTGTGAGCTCTGAATTGCGATATAATAGCTTGTGATTCAAAATCTTTGATGACAACCTGTCACAGTGTCATTTTAATAAGTCATACCTGTCGTAAAACTTTATAAAGTCTTAAGTGCATCAGAAATTCAGAATAACTCGATACAGGACACAAAATATTTGAGAATGGAACCAGATATCACGCAATCAGAAACTATGCTTGGATTCTTAAAGACTAACCGTTCCAGCAACATCTGTTTCTGCTGAGTGTGATGCGGGACGACCACCTTTCCAACTGGAAATGGAAGAAACGGGAGAACCAGTACCATCATGCTTGATATCCTGACAGTATTTAGATATAGTCTTGTAACCTTTATCACCCAAGTTGATTAACCCAGCAGCGAGATGCTTACTAGATTCCATGGCATATCTTGCCACTAGATTTCCACTGTTTGGCGAGGTAGATGGACTTACACCAGGACACGCAAGTTTCTGTGGACTTAGACGACCTGTATTAGAGGACAAAGGATTGTTGGAAGCATAAGCTAACCATCTAGAACCGATAGCCATCGGACCATATCCAACATTGATCCCAGATATCCCTTGGCTTCCAAACTGAGGGACTGGATAAGTGAGAACACTGAACTTGTTCTCAAGAGTTAGAGCATCAAAACAGTATATCTGCAGCAATATAGGCACAACAAAACAGCACTATTAGATGCATCTATGTGATAACAGAGTTGTCTCAAAAGTAGCAACAACTTATATAATAAAATGCAAAGTAAACTATTAAAGGTCATCGAAGACAAGGCTAACCTGTGAACCAAGGCCAACAGCTACTATTAGGGGGCTGCATCTGACCATATAGACAGTTGATCGGAATCGCAGAACATGAACATAGTTGTGAGATCTCAGAGAATAGAATCGGACAACTGTAGGAGAAAGGGCAAGATTCCCTGAGACTTTAGCTTCATCAGCAACTACTATAAGTAGGGGATGTGATGTTCTAAATCCTTCAATACCCTCACACATTGCAGGGAGGGGCTGCATCTGTAATAATGTGGCTGGGTCATCCCGCTTTGAAACAAGTTCACTGACATTAGCAGCATCATTGATGTCAAGGACTTGAAAACCGTTGGTATAACCAAGCAAGAGGACATGGTTGAAGGAAGATGGATCTATGTGTAATCTGTCAAAGGAGGACCAAAGCACCTGCTTATACAGGCAACATGTTCAGCATCATCAAAATGTTCAATCATGGCTACGAGGGAACAAGAAAATCCAACTAAAACAGTTCGAGCTAATTTTATGCGTGAAGCCTTCAAGAAACCTCTTCAATCCAAGTCAATGCAACAACAAGAATCCCGATCAAACGAGCTTCTCTAGAATTCAGAGCGTCACATTTCAATTCCTATCTCCTTCTCGTAGACTAAAAATCACTAGACTTTCTGATCGTATGAAAACGCATGCCAAACCAACTCCAACACGAGACCGATCAGAACTGGAGAGGAACAGATTTCAACTGACAAAGAAATCAAGTTTAGAAAATACAAATCCAGAACGCGAATCGGAGAAATTAAACGACACGAACCTGGTCCTTGTTCTCCAGAGACTGGCCGGAAAGAGAAGCGGCCACGGAGGCGCTGGCTAAACGGACGCCGGAGGAAGCTGTTCTGATGAAGTTAGATATGATCTTTAGTGAATTCGGCAACAAGCCATTGGTACTGTTCTCACTGTGATTATCGCCTTTTTTGTCGTTGTTGCTGTTGAAGTTGTCACTTCTCTTCATATTCAAATCGAAATCGACGAAGCCGATATTACCGGCCACCGGAAACCCACCGGAGGCGAGTGGGTGAACGGAAGCAGCGTAAGCAGCGGCGGAGACGGACGATAAGATCCTTCAACTCGTGAAACTGATGCGTTTCACCATTTTTTCTTCTCCCCTTGGATTAGCAGCGGTTGATGGATTGGGTTTTTTGACCTTCTTGGCAGGAACAAGAAGAAGACGAGACGACGACGACGACAAAGAAACGGCTCTTTACCTTCTTTTTATTGTTCTTTTTATAATAAATCTTTCTTTTTCGTATTTCTTGAAGAATCAAAAGAGAAGAGTTCGTGTTACGTAGGGGTGTTAATCACATTAATATCAATTTTTAAAGAGTGGCATAAAAATAGAAATATATATTAAAAATTGCAGATTTACACGATAATTCAAGTTTTAATTTTGATATCTTTTGTGGGAAAATTCCAAATAAATACATCAATTCAGTAAGAAACTGATAAATACATAAATTTTCTCTCTAATTTTTAATATATATTTCTTATATATATATAGTGCTAGAAGATATAAGGATATATTCTCAAAGATCTTTTTATTAGTATTATAAAATAATTACATTATTCACTATACAAGAAGAGTGATACAGGAGGACTTGCAAAGATGCAGCTTTAAACTTGCCAATGCATTGTGAACCATTTTTGTAAACCCGAAACCGAAAAACTATTTTCGGGTTAACGGAGAATGTTACCGCAGAAAATCTGCAAGAGAGGCTTGAATTTCTTCGAGCGATCTTCCTTTTGTTTCAGGTACCAACACATATACAAATGCAACAGTCGCAGCGCAGAAGCTAGAGAAGATCAAGAACGTTCCTGCAAAATTTTCTTGCGGTTTGAGTTCATTGAGAAAATCGAAAAATCGGGACTAAAGATTACGGATATGTGTTTGTATATCATATACATACACAGATACATCCATGCGCTCATGTATGTATGCTTACCAGATTCGCTCCATTGAAGCAAGAAATTGAATGCGTATGCTATGATCCAACCGAAGGACCAGTTAGCTAAGGTAACTAAGGTTCCCGCAGAAACTTTGACGTTCATCGGGAAAATCTGCGGCGGAAAATGATTCCGTCACAATTTTTAGAACAGAAACTTATCTGTCTGAGAAGTTACTGAGTGGCAAGTGAAGATAGTTATGTTCTTGTGTTTTACCTCGGACATTATGATCCATGGTAAGCCTCCCATCCCAATGGCATAAACGGTGACAGAACCCTAATCGTGAGAGAGAATACGTAAATTGAGATGATGATTTATACCCTAGAGAACACAGATTTAGCGGTTTATACTGAAATACAGACACACGGGAATCGAAGATCGATCAGACTTACCAATATGCCGATGCATGTTAATATGGGAGTTAGCTCGTCCAGAAGGCCAAGTGACTGTTCATCAAGGAACAAGGATGTAACTATTTCACATATAACAGTAAAAGACACGGAAATCTTGAGAAGAATTTATACATAGTTTGATAATATATAAGTGTTTTCAGGTTGTTACCCGCAAGGAGAAGGAAACACTAAGGAGCAAGCCGAAGAGGCACGTCCCAACCGCAGAAGTCTGAAAAAAATTCACCTGTTCGTTAGAAATGATGCAACCTTTCTATGTTTTATGTTACAAATGAAGATATTATTCCAAATTTTACCATAAGAAGTGGTCGCCTCCCCATTTTCTCAACCAAGATCAGACCCATAAAGGATTTGGGTACCTGCAAACAGGGACATGTACCAAAATTACCGAAATCATGCTTGAATGATTTCTTGGATAAATGTATGGGAGAGGTTTCCATAAATTCAAAACATGCTTGAATGAAACAGTGCAAAGTATGTACCAAAATCATGGCAAGAACAGTTGAGCCAATGCTGCTCGGAAATCCTATCATGAGAAACAAAGGAAACCAAAGATTCACTACTCATCAGTTCTCTTTAGAAGGAAAAGAAAAATCATTAGTGAAGAAGAAGACTTGTCAATATACTTAATTTAGAAAAGAAGACTAAATCGGTTCATTATTTACCTCCTCTTTCAAATAAGCTGCTGGCATAGTAAGTAATGCCAGTGCAGCCAGATAGCTGTTGCAGAAGCATTAGTCCCACACCGATCTGTAAACATTAAAAAGAGATAGGTCCAAGTACTCAGTATATTTCCAAAACATAGAGTTCTAAGTCAGCTCTTTTAGGAAGCAAATTCCCCTCTCTGAAGACTTACAATGAGCGACGTAGCATATCTTCTCTGAAACAAGTCCACAATCCGGGGTTTTGGGCCTTGTTCAAACATTTCCACGGTTTCCTACAGGCAAATTGGAAAAGAATTCGGTTGTCAATCCAAAGAATCGCCATCTCAGCATACTTTTTTTACCAACAGAACAATCGAAAACAAAGATTTTAAATGTTTATGTACTTTGATAGCACTGGCTTCTTGAGAAACGTCAGCATCTTTCCCCCGGAGACGCTGCAATGCAGCATTGCATTCTTTTTCTTGTCCACATTTCCCCTGCAGTTCGTGTCAAACAAAGATGATGCATCAATTAACCGATTTTCCCGAAAGTTAAAAAAAACATCCTTTGAACTTTTTAAGGGTAACTATGGAAAAAAGATTAGTTTCTATAATCTGGCTTCTTGAGAAACGTCAGCATCTTTCCCCCGGAGACGCTGCAATGCAGCATTGCATTCTTTTTCTTGTCCACATTTCCCCTGCAGTTCGTGTCAAACAAAGATGATGCATCAATTAACCGATTTTCCCGAAAGTTAAAAAAAACATCCTTTGAACTTTTTAAGGGTAACTATGGAAAAAAGATTAGTTTCTATAATCTGGACACACCAGCCATCTCGGAGACTCTGGGATGAAGAACAAACCAATGACTTGCAAAGAACAGGGGACGAGACCTGAGATGAGATTTTATCAGAATCAGTTATTTTATCCCAAAATCGAGCTGCTAGAGAAGAGCATGTAGAAGATATTCTTACTGATCAATGCCAATCTACGCCATGGAATGAAATTTCCGATTATGAAGAAAAGTGAAACCCCACAATTCAGTGTCAGCTGATATGTCCAAAGGAAAAAAAATTTGAGTTAATACCGTTATTACTACCACAAGCATATTTTTCTAGTAATTTATTGGTCATCATTCTATACCTGACTAGCAAACACAAATGCCCCTCGGACATGCTTTGGGGCTATTTCCGCGATATATACAGGTATCTGCTCGTACAAGAACCTCTTAGTCAGCAAGATTTACACATATGAATGAATATGAAGCAATAAGAGATAACAAAATTACCACGTAGCTAAATAGACCGACTCCAACTCCTATTGACAATCTTCCAGCGTCTAGCCACAGTGAATCCTTTACATTTCATGATCGGTTTTCCAAAACGTTACAATCTAGAAATAAAATACTAAACATTGATTCAAAAATAGTGGAGAAATTCATGAAAAGGAGAAAGGCAAAAGCAAACCCGGGCGAACGCTATTGCAAGCCATCCAGAAATGCAGAAAATTTGAGCAAACCACATTGTCTGTTATATAGAGGGATCAGAAAATCAACGCACTAGAGCTTGAGAATCATACATGTAAGATCAATAAATGTAAGAGTGATAAACTACCCCTCTTTGACCAAGAACATCTGCGACTTTCCCACAAAATATAGCACCGATCATCCCTCCAAATGTCATGATTGAGCCAAACATCGAGTACTGAAGCACAAACAGAAGATTAGAACGTAGTGGTAAGTTTATTACTTGAGTGACTTTTTGCCAATAAACAAACAACTCCTGGAATAAAAGATAAACGACAAGGTATGATTGCTTACTTCTGCCACAGAGATGCCTAAGTCCTCGATGATCCCAGATTGAGCAACCGATGAATATCCCATCTGAAGAGGCCAAATTCAGATTTCATTTCAGGAACTATTTACCAAAAACCAACTCATTTGATCAATCATCCCACAAGGTTTGCCGCTAAAGTACACATATAGCTTGTACTTTCAACTAGATGTGTAGAACGACAGAGATACCCTCGTGGTCACGTTAAAAGAATCCAAGAAATTTACGCAAATATCTATGTAATCTATTGGTTTACCAGGAAAGAAAAAAACAAGATCCAGATTGGGGAATTTCGTCAAACAGTTGAAGAACACTCACGGCACAGCCAAAGCAGAACGAACCACAAACAGCAACGAGCGTGCTAAGGAGCACGACAGAGGTGATACGAGACCCTCCATTTTCGTTCTGATCCTTCTTCAGCAGCCCAGTTTCCAAGTCGCTCTTTTTCTCCACCACTGCCATTTTTTCCGTCGACCCAACACAAATACCGGCGAGAAAATATCAGAGAAAGCTTTTCCGGGATGACTTTCGGAGAAAGTTTTCGAATTTGTTGATGGGTTTGCTTCCATCTCGAAGAGTGTTGCAGAATATATATTCTTTCTGAGTTACGGATGAGGAAACTAACGCGACACCTTCGGAGCGGTAACTAAACTATTAGAGTTTCGCGCCCTCAACTTGGATAAATTAATCAGAAACCCTTTTTTTGTATTTTGTAATCACAACTTTAAACCTTTTTATTGGAATATTGGACCGGTCGATCTTAAAATACTATCTATGTATTGTTTTCCTAATTTTATGCCAACTTATTAAGAATTTGACTGAATTAATCACGCGTGAGGCATTGATCATTTCGCACTGGAAAAATCCATACACTATGAATTTATCCAAAATATAACTGAAAAATATGAATTTGAAAAGTACCAAAAAATGTATCGATTTATAACATATTCTCAAATTTCTACACGAATTCTAACATCATTAACCGGATCATTATTTTCCAACTACGGATGCTGATGTGGTAATTTTAATACCACCTGTAAAATTTTATCACGTGGAATTTACAGTTTAAAACTTAAACCGGAAACGAAAATTTTAATCTTTAAAAAGAAAATCGCATTAATTGATTTAATCATTAGCGCTTATTATATGTCAAATCTTCTAGAAAAAAATCGGCCAACGACTACTTTTTTTATATTATCACTGGAAACTGACAGCCTCGACGTGAGAACGGCTACCTTTTTTTTATATTTCCCGTAATATATTATTATAGTTTCTGTCGTGGGAATCTCTAACACCAAAATGTAAAATATGTATACGTTATGGCAGCATTTTATAAACGTGACCCATTCAAATTAAAATATAGTCGTCACGACCTAACTGTTTATTTTTTATACGAGGGGCATCATATAAATATATTTTTAGTAAAGTCAAATCAGCAAAATAATATGATGTACCCGATTGAATAATAATAATAATAATAATTTGCTGGAAGTTATTAAAATTTCATTTAAATAAAAAAAAAGGGGTGAAATCATTTGAGGATAGATGAAGCTTGTATTTCTTCGAGAGTTTTGCCGTTGGTCTCTGGAACTATGGACCATACGAACAAAATACTTGCTCCGCACGCACCCGCGAATATATAAAACGTTCCTGCGTATATACACATTACACCCTTTCTTATAAATTCCATTTTATTATATAATTTGTAAAACGAAAAATTAATTACTAATTAATTAAGTAATTACCAGCTGAGCTCCATTCCAATAGAAAATTAAAAGCGTAAGTGATGACCCAACTGGTCGACCAATTCGCAAACGCCGCAACACTTCCCGCCCTCACTTTAATATTCATTGGGAATATCTGAAACCCCGCATAAAAAAATACATTAAGTATATATTTAATACAATAATTATCATATCATATGTTTATATATATATATATAGATTGATTTTGTAGGGTTTTAACCTCAGACATTATGATCCACGGTAGTCCCCCGAATCCCAACGCAAAAGTTGTCATAAAACCCTAGAGAAAGTCACGTGAAGATCGAGTAACAATACCATATGCTAAATAATATCGATATTTGATTATAGCATTTATAATAACTCTTATATATAATTACCATAACACCGACAAATGCCATGCTAGGAGTGATTTCCTTCAATAACTCGAATGCCTGCATGTTCGTCACAAAATATTTAAATAATGAAAAATTAACTAGTTGGATAATTCTGATATATATATAATTAAATAAAGAAATTTCATAATCTGCTCACGTTCGTTATATTATGTGTAACATAAATTACCTGTAATGTAAAGGAAACTGCAAGGAGCAGACAACTGAGGCATGCTCCTGTGGCAGATACCTACAGATAATAAAACTAATTATATTTGCATTATTACATAATGAATGTATAATCCTGGAATAATAATTCAATTTATTAAATTAATACATCAAGTCAATGGATGTAAAAACTAATATATAAATTAGTTTAAGGGACTTATATTATTTAATAAAACGAACCATGAGAAGTGGTCTTCGTCCCCATTTATCCACCAGAAATAGACCCAAGCATGCCTTTGGAATCTGAAAGTGAATGTAATATATAATTGGTCGTAAGTGAAAAAGTAAATTTGACAGTAAAATCCTCGGGGTTATTTATTTTTCATTGAAAATAAAAATTGATATGACGATCGTATACCAGAACAAGGGCAAGTGCCGTCGATCCGAAGCTTACCGAAAAATCTATTAGAAGATATCCCAAAATTAAATTGAGGATAATAAATCTACAGAAAAATATAATTATAATTATTGTAATCATTTTATCTGATTATACCTGATTTCTCGAATATGGTGCTTGCATAAAAGCCTATACCGGCACTTCCGGTTAATTGTTGCAGAAGCATTAACCCTATTCCGACCTTAACCATCAAAATTTCAAAAGAAAATTAAATCAGATTAAATAAAGATTTAACAATTAATTTTCAAAAATCAGTATCCCATATTCTTTTTTTTAATGTAAAAGCCTCGTGGATGTTTTACCGTAAGTGAATGTACGCATGCATGTGGATCTTAGTTCTTACCGTTAGTGAATATCTGTATCTCTTCTGGAACAAGTCTAGAGACTTCGATTTGGTGACTTTGTCTAAAGCTTCAATCAGGTCCTAACACAGGAAATTTTTAAAAAATCATTTTATTATTTAAAGAGTGGAGTAAAAATTGATTTTTATTTTCTAAATAAAAGATTTATAAAAAGAAAAATAAATTAGTTGGAAAATTACGATAATTTCCGCCTTTTCTTTGGAAATATCGGCATCTTTTCCTCTCAGAAATTGTAGAGAATTTTCAAACTCTTTTTCCCTTCCAATTTTCGCCTGCGAATATCGGTACATTTTAGATACATATATGATATATTAGTAATTTTACTGAAATAATAAAAAATACATATGCTTTTTAAAAAAATTACTCACCAACCATCTAGGAGATTCGGGAACAAAGAACATTGCAAAAAGCTGAACAAAACAAGGAAGAACACCTAAAAAATAAATTATAGAAAGAGTATAAATCATTAGAATTAAAAATACAGTTATTAGTTTATCCCATTAATTAAGTCAATTTAATAGCTTACTTATTAATGCTAATGTTCTCCACCTTAAGAAGTTTCCAACGGAATACATTATGGCCATCCCACAATTTTGCAATAACTATAAAATAAAAAAAAAACCACTGAAATAAAAAATAAGAAAATATAAAAATAAAAAAATAAAAAATTAACAAAATTAATATAAATTACCTGGTTGGCGAATATACATCCTCCCCTAATGGTTTTGGGTGTTACTTCTGCTATGTAAACCGGAATCTGAAAATTAACGAAACAAATATTTTTTTCAATAAAATTTTCAAAAATCTTTGCTACTTGTTTTTTTTAATTTATTTATTTGTTCTGCGTTGGACGTTAAATTTTCCCCAAGTAATGTTTCGATCGTTTTTTGTGAGTGTTAGTATCCAATGTAATGAATAATGTTAAGCTTACTGTGTAACTGAGCAATCCAATAGCAATCCCACAGCAGAGTCTCCCAAAATCCAACATCCAAACAGTCTGTAATTTTTTTATTAAAAAAACATATAAAGATGTTTATTTATATCATATAATATATATGCCAACCGAAAACTTTTCTATTTGGTAAAATAAAAAGGTACCTTAGCAGATGCTATTGCAAGCCAACCAATGATGAAAAATAATTGGGAGATACATAATACCTGTTCAAATTAACCACCAAAGAAACTTTAATATATATATATATATATATTAAAATAAGTAAAAAAATTATAAGAATGAAAAACCTACCGGTTTCCGACCGACTAAACCTGTTATGATTCCACTGAATAAAGCGCCGATTGTTGCTCCAAATGTTAAAATTGATCCGAAAACTGAATACTATATATATAAAATCCAACAGAAAATGAAAATCCATTAAAGATTTATCATAGAAGATAAGATGATTATTGGTGGTTTATTATATATAGAGTAATTAAAAAGAAATTAATAATGTAAGTTACCTCTGCAACAGAGAGTCCCAAGTCTTCTTGGATCCCGCCCTTTGCAGCTGATGAGAAGCTCATCTGAAAATAAAAACAATTAATTGAACTATAAAATAATGTGCATGCAAATATTCTTTTCTAACGGTTACAAAATATAAATTAATAAAACGTGCAGATATGAGTTCGATTTAACAAACATCGCCGACATGCACGTCGACAACATGGGAGTCTATAAACAATGATTACTTGCCACTTTTTATATAGACACACACACACACATATATATATATATATTAAACAAAAAATTGGTCAGAATTACCTGATTTTTATTTTTATTTTTATAAATGATATGTTGATAAATATCTAGAATAACCACAGAATATCTGGAATACTATATTCAGAATTACCTGATTTTTATTTTTAGTGTTAAGGGCATTTCGGACATTCTGGCTAAGGAGATTTTGAAATGAGCCAGAGCATTTAATATGAAGGGGACCCACCCGTTTCAAATTGCTCACCTATGAGTTTGGTTAAATATTAACCAACATCAATGTTGGTCCATTTCACGCTTCATGGTTTTCATTTAGTTTATTTACTTATTATGCTGTTGAACTCAAAAGCTTCGTAAAGCTGTGAAAAAGTGGACAGAGAAAAAAAAAAGGAAAATTACGGAATTTCAACAGTGAATTTACTCTCCATAAAAAAAAAATTAGAACACTCGTAAATCTAAATCTGCAAATTAAATATGAGATGGAGGAGATCCCGAATTATAATTATTTTTTTGGGATTTTTAAATTTTAAATATTACGAATTTATGATACCATAAATATCAAAACTCGAACCATTTCGTCCATAAGTTGCTACGTCAGTGAAAAAAATAGCTCGAAACATAGACCAGAAAATAGAAAGGAAAAGAATAGTGGACCCATGGACACATTTGTCATCGTCTTGCTTATAATTTAGATCAATCGATGAAATGGACACAAAATCAATCGGTGAAATGGACACACAAACGTTTGTTTTGTCCGAATTTGAGTTTTAAATTGGGAAGGAAAATATAGTTCCAATCAAATGTTGGGATTTTAGAATAAACGGTTGATTGGTTTTAATCTCTCATGGGATTCATGATGCACGTGTATTACGAGTACAATGGAGGAGTAAAATAATTGTAAAAGACGTGTCATGAATTGGTTTAAAGTGTTATGAATTGGTTTAAAGTGTTATGATTCGTCGGAAAATGTAACGTTCAGTTTAGAACGTGAAAAATGATCTCAAAAAAATGGAAGGGTAGCTCGAAAATGTGGACGGACAGCCTGTTTTTCCTGAGGGATAAAGCTCGAATAAACGGACAGTAGCTCTAACAATCATAACACTCTAAACCAATTCATGACACGTCTTTTACAAGTATTTTACTCCTCCACCATATTCGTAATACACGTATATCATGAATCTCATGAGAGATTAAAACCAATCAACCATTTACTCTAAAATCCCAACATCAAATAGCTTGCTCCCGACTCCATAATTAGTTTGAATTTTTAAGATATCCCGTTATCCAAACAAAAAAAACTGCCGTCGCCGTTTCGTCTGGCGATTGGAGAATGAGGTGGGAGAGGCTATAAACTAATGGTGTTTTTCTAAATAAGAGTAAAACTATGGATATTATATATAGACGATTTATTTAATTTTTCGGATACTGCGTATCGATATCTAACCTATATCCGAATGCCCGGATAGCCTATTTTTGTAAAATGAAAAAAAAATGGAAATTTATATGAAATTGTAAAACAACAATTAATTGGGGCACGTGTGATGTAATGGTGGACTTACGGCGCAGCCAAAGCTGATGGAGCCGGAGACGGCGGCGGCGGTGGTGAACAACACGGCGGCGGTGACGTGGCGTCCGCCGGAATCTTCGTCTTTGTCGCAAAGCAAAGACTCCGTCGACGTCGCCATGAGCCCACCCTCCATTCTCTCTTCTCCCATCTCTTATACGACCAACAATTAATGTTTTTTGTTGTCCCTCTCTCTCTAGATATCTCTCTCTCTCTCTGTTTGTTTCGCGAGAAAATGCGGTGTGGAAAATTGGGGAGAGAAAACGAGAGAATGTGACAATATACATATTTGTACATATAAAGATTCAATTTGGTTTTCACTTGCTTTCTGAGAAAAAGGTATAAAGATTTTGATTGCTTATATACGTACACGTCGTTGCGTTAATTACACACACACACAACACTTGTACATATAATTTTATTAATTATAGCAGTTAATTTTCAACTCCAAATTAACATTCGAGTGACAAAAAAAAAAATTAAACGTGAATCGTAATTCATAAATTATGAATAACTTATTGTTGTTACTTGTTAGTTCCGAGGGAAAATGTCTCGAAACCCTTAAAATATTCAATTTAGCCTTTATTCTAGAAATATTTGGGGATTTCGCTATGAACATAAGGGTGTTAGTGTAAATCGGTAAATAATATATATACACACATATATATATATATAATGGTGTGTATTCATAAATTAAATGCTAATGAAAAGAAAAATCTATACAATTTCCCCCTCGTCTCACTGAGAAAAGAAGTAAACTGGATTCATATGCTGTGCAAGTGGTCCTCCCCCACCCAAATTGAATTTCTTGCGACGGTCCATATTTCTTGGTCACAAGCATTTCCCTCTCTCTCTCTCTCTCTGTATATATATATGTATATAATAAGGTATCGACGGTAAATAACAGTTATATTTATACTTACAGAAGTACAAGTGCAAGGACGACTGCAACAGTACCCGAGGAGTAGGCATCATAGTACAATGATACCCGCAAGTTGTGAATGCTGCTGATGATGATGACGACCATGATGATGATGATGATGATAGTACAACTTCTTACGGTCTGTTTTCGACTGATTCAAATACAATTTTTTTTTATAATTTCTAAACCATCCAAATATAGATAATAGCTATATGGTTTCTAATAATCGGTTTTAAGAAAATATAATAAATTATATATTAAATTATTTGGACACACATAAAATAATCTGCATATTCAGAGTAAAAGTTTAGTATAAAAAAAATACACAAACCCATTTTGTTAATGGATGCTACTTTGTATAGATTAAGAGGTGTACGTAACGGACTGTGCTAATCAAGAATAGTTAATTTTAGGATTTGGTGAATACCAATCAAATCCTAGACCTAATTTGTTTAATAGTCCATTTTTTAGATTTCTTCTGGTTGAGAACCCTTTGGGTGACAAATATGTATTTCAATTTTAAAAAAAAATGTCACTTTCGTATTATTATTACAAATTTATTTACTTTTAGTTCCACATTCTAACACCTACCCCATATTAATTAGGGTAGCAAAATTTCAAAGCTCAATTACGTTTGATCTTTTTTGGATGATATGCATATATTTATTTATTTTATAAAAACAAAAAATAGAAAGGTGTAAAATTTGATTCAATCATTTTTCATATTAATGTAAATAAAAGTGGAAGGACATATATATATATATATATATATATATGTGCAATAAATAGATTGGGCCCATAGGATAGGTGTTACGTAAGAGTGATGTGTAACGCCTTCTACCATAAAAGGTAGGGTTGTTAAATGCTACGAAGAGCAAGAATACTTTTTTTTTTTTTTTGGTAACAAGAACAAGTCTATTCTGAATTTTTACTGAAGAATACATATCACAAATAATCATAAACAAACAACGGACAAGGCGAATGGATATGCCCGGGCCCGTTACATAAATCTTACGTAAGAGTGACGTGTAACACCCTCTACCGTATAAAACGTCGCGTTCTTCTTCCCCCGTTCTATCCTCTCCTATGCCCATTTCTACTCGTTTGAGTTTTTAGGGTTTTTTTTCTTTATAATTTTAGTTTCGATTTCCTTATTATATATTGTACACTACTCCTTTTTTATAAAAAAATTTAGAGCCTAGATTTTCCAATCTTGTATCCAATTTGATTTCCCCTTCTTATTCATTTTATTGTTGGAACTCCCATTGCGAATCACTCACATTCCATTCCCTTGTGTTGACATGTACAATTCCATTAGAATTCACCCCATTTTAAAACAAGTCTAGAATTTCAAATTGGAAATTTCAACCTTAATCCATGTCCCAAGTGAGTGATGGCGCATTGGCCATACTCGGATGTGGTTCGGTAATTGCCATTGGCAATCGATAATTTTAATTTCTGGTTCATATGTTACATACGTTGTCTTTTTTTCCTGCCCACATACGTACGTACGTACGTACGTTTATTTATGATGACTATCCTTTTATTTTATGTCCCCATGCATGACAAATCAATTGAAATTTGTTATCAAAGGTTAAATGCAATGGAGTGGACTGACTGAACGTTTAACCGTACGGACAGAGGAGCATTTCGTCTCTCCCCTTGCCCCCCCGTTCATGAAATTTTATATGAGATTTTTCATTGTTTTTTTTATATTTGTTTTTTTGTTGGCAGAGTCCAAATACGTGACTTGATAGAAAATCAGGCGACAACAAATTGCGCATCTATTTTGCAAGTTATCGGACCTTTTCAAGAGATAGAAAAACATATATTTGTCGCGAATAATCTGCAGTGAAACAGATAAATCAGTCGAAACTGATAGACTCATTGAAAATTTAATTCTATAATTTTAAAATGGAAAATTTAAACCTTTAAAACTCATCATCAAAAATATTTTTTCATGCATGCATATACATATCGTTATATTTCTTTATATAAAAAATATCGTTATATTTCTAATCTAAATCAGAGTATCAGATAGATATAATATTTATCACAAAAACCATAATTTTATTCTCTTTTTATAATTTTGAAATATTTACATATCAAAAGATAAAATTGTGATTTTTCAAATATTATTAAATTTTATCATAAGTTTTGATTATCACCATAAATGTATTCATTAGTATTTCCTTCAAAATATCACATAAAATATCATGGTATGTACATAAACGAAGTTGTTGTACGACGTGAACGTAGACAGAGTTTAGGACATTATTCATCCTTTGTTAAAATTGCCACAATGCCACGTGTTAGAAATTCATATCCAAGTTGCGGTAATGATTTTTATTTAATTAGACCTTATTATTATAAGACGGTACGATATTACAACGTTTCATGATTTTTTTTTTGCTTTGTAATGTTCAACTTGTTTGTATATAGTTTGGAATATACACATTTTATATTTTTATAATGAAAATATAAAATATCTTTGGTCCATTTCCCAACTTTAATATTTATTGGACAAAAAGTTTCATGATTGTTTTTTTCTATTTGGAAAACAAAGTAGAGCCAAGCCTCCGTTATTGAATAAAGGCTCAAGAAACCAATCCAGATCAACATTATATATACATATATATATAAAAGTTCTACATATATTGATTATGTTATAACCAAATAATTTGAAGACAAATGAAAAATGTACAGGTCGCCGTAAAAAAAATATAGATTTCAAATATTTTTACAGGTCGCCGTAAAAAAATATAGATTTCAAATTTTTTTGATAATATACTTTGCAAAAACTATAGTATTATTTTATATAGTATAGCAAACATCTGTTGATAAGGACGTTCCACCTTTTCTTTTTTATTTTTAATTGTATATTTTGATTAGCGGAAAATATTATTACTGGCGAATCGAACAGCGAATGTAATATAATGCCGATTCATGAACCGGATTTACGAAGAACATGTGTATTTCGCCGTCAAAATTGAACATTACGTTTGCAACAACTCCCAAGATTCCAAGAGTTATATAAAAAATGGTGACGTCTAAGAATTTTTCTAGCTCGAGGAATATGAATATTTTCTTTAAGGCATATTTTATCAATTTTATTTTTAATTATTCGATTTTTAATGGATATTTTTTATCCATAGTCAGTTGTTAGGACCGACGAATGTTTTTCACCTTTTTTTTTTTCATTTTAAATGATTTTTTTATGGTAAAAAAGGCACTTGTTTGGTTTGATGTGTAAGGAGGGTAGGTACCGAGTTAATATATAAAGTTATATTCCTTTTTTGAAAACGATTATTTATTCAATTTAAATGTATAAAATTTCCATGATCAGAATCTATAGATATCTAAAAATTGAATGTTTATATATATATTCGTCCTCATCTAAAAAAAATAACCAAATAAACCTAAATCAATAACCAAAATATTTCATTTTAAATATAAAATTTTTAAAAAATTATCCTAATGTATTTGTTGTCTTTTATCTTTCTCCTCTGTATTTGAATAATGATATCGATCTGGAATTTTCAAACCAAGTTCAACGTGTCCCCACTTAAGTGTAGTATGTCAAGCTTGACTCAGTTGTCGTGTCGAGACATAAATTATTGTACCAACAAAAACAAAATTACAAGAATAATTAAAAATTTTATTAGATTTCCAGAACGAATGTTTTTTTTTGGGTATGAATTTCCAGAACGATGTTATCTAATATGATAATGATATCGCACTTTTTGAATGCCAAGAAAATAAAATAAAATAAAAATAGCACGAGGCACGCTCCTGATATCAAATGGCTAACCTTTTTTTTTTGTTTTTGCAATGTATTTATATACGTGTTCATGTTTTATTATCGCTTCAAAGTATTCCAAACCACAGAACAAAAAAGCGAGTCTCTGTGGAAAGGAAGAACAATTTTTTGAATTTTCACACAAACAAAAAGCGTTTCTTGATCTTTCCGAAGAACAGAGAATGATAGGGCGAGAGGAAATGGGATCTGGGTTTCTGAAAGATCCTTTGATCTCCAAGCAACATGCAAGGACATCATCGTACGACCAAGACGAAGAACGGCAGGATAAGATTACCAAGAATCAGACAGCAGATAAAGATTATCTTTCTTCTTCCTTCAGTTCCGGTGTCCTTCTCAGCACTTCCGTCGCTGTTTGTGGATCCCTCTGCTACGGCTGCGCCGTTAGTCTCTCTCTCTCTCTCTCTCTCTCTGAGTTCTTGAGTTTCTTGAAAAAAATTGTTTTTCTCGAGATGCAGCTGGGAAATTTTGAGTTTTCGTTCTGAATTTTCCGTGGGTTCTTCAAAGATTTGAATTCAGTTTTTGATTAACTTCATCTGGGTTGTGATCCTTTTTGTCGGTTTTGCGAACCTAATTTTACGCATTTATTTTATCAAAAACAAATTTACGCATTTCTGAAGAATATCAAACAATTTTATAAAATTTGGGAAATCCCCATCACAAAAGCAACTCCTTTTGTCGGTTGTATGGTTAAAGTTTTATCTTTTATTTTGGGAATAAATTCTTAAGTGCACTTAGAAGCACTGTATATCCCTATAAAAATGTATTTCTATAATTGTTGGGAGAGAAAAAAAAAAATCCGAAAACGATGTTTATTTCTCTGCAAATGAAACTTTTTCTTTGTTTGTAAAATGGCAGATGTCATATTCATCTTTTCGTTAAATTATTTTATGAATTTTGCTTCTTCTGGCTAAAATAAAAATGGCAGATGTCATATTCGTCGCCTGCTCAGTCCAAAATCATGGAAGAATTGGGACTCTCCGTCGCAGACGTAAGTGGCGATACATTCACATATACATACACATACTCTACTGTATATGATATATACGCATGTTTTATTCTTTGATGTATATATATATATATATATATATATATATGCATAAATTGCATATAAATTAGTTAACCTATTTGCTTGGGTAGTAGAAGCAACCCGAAATATCTGGTTTTCTTTACTGGTTCCCCGGTATGATTCGATATTAATGTTTGTGCAGTATTCGGTTTTCGCTTCCATAATGACGTTCGGAGGGATGATAACCGCCGCACTGAGCGGCAAAATTGCAGCTCTCATTGGTCGAAGACATGTAATTTACTCCATCAAATTTTCGGTTTAGCTTTATTTATCTACCGGTTTAGTTTGGTTTTCTCCAAGGAGACCAGAAATCTTGATTCTCAAGATTCTTCAAGAACACACATATATATATATACACTCATTTTCCATCTGATTTGTTTGCAGACAATGTGGCTCTCCAACATTCTGTGCACAACCGGTTGGCTTGGCGTGGCTTTCGCAGAGGTATTTTAATTTTTTTTTTTTATTCAATCGATAAACATGAAGAAAATGGAAACACATTTTTTTATAAATTTAAATTCGAAAGTTTAACATTTTGCACCATTTGTTATATGAAGTGTGCTCTGTTGCTGTATATGGGGCGACTCTTCCTTGGCCTCGGGGTCGGTCTCGTTAGTTATGTGGTAAATGAAATTTCACTCGTTTTCAAGCTTCCGTTAAAATGATATTTTGTTTAGCATAAGGTTTACACATTGACATTCACTCTATTCGTCGGTCCAAAAAACAGGTTCCTGTATACATCGCTGAAATAACGCCCAAAAACATCCGAGGAGGGTTCACGTTTTCAAATCAGGTAAGTTCAGCTGATTTTACGTTGAATGTTTCGATTAAACGGGCCGGCAATATATCGAACCGATCTGTATTATGTTCTTGAACCATATATGACCTATCGAAGCCAGAAACCGAAAAACCAAACCAATGTTACTCATGTGATTTTGTTTGTATCGTTTTATTTCTTCTAATTTGTGTTTGGCCTTTTGCAGCTTCTACAAAGTTTTGGAATTTCAATCATGTTCTTCGTCGGAAACTTCATTCACTGGAGAACTTTGGCTATTCTAAGTACAAGTTCCCTCCACACACACACACACACACACACACTTATATATATATATATACACATATATATCATAATTTATCTTATAAGTTTCTACGAATCGTATCCTTATGCTATTTATTCTTGAAATTTTGTTTTCCGGTTAGGTGCAATCCCGTGTGCTGTCCAAGCGATCGGTTTATTCTTTATTCCCGAGTCTCCGAGATGGCTGGTATATCCCACTCCAAATTTCTTATCGGGTTTCTTTCAATGTCGTTAACAAATATGTACCGTTCGTTCATTAGTCGATAGATTAAACGGATTGATCATATGAGTTCCTTGTTAACCTATGTTCTGTTCGTATTTGTATTTTGCAGGCAATGTACGGTCGAGATCGAGAGCTGGAATCTACTCTTCAAAGACTCCGAGGAAAGAACGCCGATGTTCTTGAAGAGGCCGCTGATATCAGAGTAACTAAATTTTCTCAGCAGTTTTATCGCTTCGTCTCGGTTTTTATATGCCAATGCTTCATAATTCCATCATTAGTACAATAAAATCCGTATTCTCTATGAAATCAGGAAGCTGTGGAGATCTCCAAGAGAGAGTCCCGAGCCGGAATCAGAGACTTATTCCAGATGAAATACGCCTATTCGTTAACCGTAAGTCATACCGAACCGATGACATTTCTTTCAATTACATTGCTCGTTTCGACTAAACCGGGTTCCAAACTAGTTGGTAATGTCATGGTCTTGGTTAAGAATTATTGAGTTTAAAATTGGTTACGTGATTGGACCGGAATCTAAATTGTCACAAGCAAATTGCACGTTTAGACCGAGAGGATTTACGTAAAATACCTTCTTGACAAATATAAACAAACGGAATCATGGTTCAGTTCACATTGTTAATTTAACTCGAGATCTTGTCTGAATACGTGTATTTATACGTTTTCATGTATCCGTATAAACACACTAATACAATTGGAATTTGGTTAGATTGGACTGGGGCTAATGCTTTTGCAACAATTGTGTGGGAGTTCGGCTATAAGTTCTTATGCTGCCCATATTTTCGACAAAGCAGGTAAAATCGAAATCTTAAATCTACCGTTCGGTTAAAGAAGATTTCACCATTCTGAAACGTGATCGGTTTTCGTTAGGTTTTCCAAGCGATGTCGGGACCACGATCATTGCTGCTATAATGGTAAGTACTCTAACCAGATCAAGTACATTTTTAGACCTTTTTTACATCTAATTATCAATTTGATTGTTTTTTCAGGTACCCAAATCTTTAGTAGTTCTCCTCACCGTGGACCGGTGGGGACGTCGGCCGCTTCTTCTGGTCAGAATTTCATCATCTTCGGTTTAGAGATTTCCGAATCCGGTTATCAAAATATTCATAAAAATATGACAAATCTTTCTGATTGAATGGAAAATTGCAGGCGTCTTCCATAGGTTTATGCATATGCTCGTTCTTAATCGGCTTATCCATCCATCTCCAGGTTTGTTTCTAATTTTCTATTAACCAATATTTTATTTTGCATATTTTCCGTCTCAATAAAGTCTCATGAAAATTAAAATTTTGTCTCCATGAACAGAGATACGGTGAATTTGAGAAGCTTTGCTCGGTTGTGTTAATCGTCGGTATAATGGTACGTTCGGGTATAGCCTTTCCGGTTAACCGGTTTTGTTAGTTTCAATGTGATACGATTGATTTTGATTCAATAGTTTTGACTGCTTCGGTTTAGTTTAAACATTTGTGATTTACATTAACCGGAATTAAACCGGACGTGTACCAGGGTTACGTCGCGGCGTTTGCAATTGGTCTAGGAGGTTTACCGTGGGTCATAATGTCCGAGGTAACTTTTTTATTTCATTTTTTTTATAACATTTTGTTTTTCGTAAAAATATATTTTTAACTACATCTTTGGTCTGTCTAAATAAAATTGAAATATGTCATGTAAAAATTTGTAGATATTTCCGGCGAACGTGAAAGTCACCGCCGGGAGCTTAGTCACTGTGGCGAATTGGTTCTTCAGTTGGATCATCATTTATACGTTCAATTTCATGATGCAATGGAGTGGTTCAGGTAATTAATTACTTGCATTAAAAATCGAAATTATTTATCGACCTATGGTATAAATGTATTAAGAGTATTTTTGTGCATTGATGTCTAAAAAAAGGTTAGTTTTCAAATGTAAAATTAAAAGAAGTGATATTTTTAAGAGAATTTTAACTAATATTGATTCCATATATATATATTAATTTCAGGAACTTATTTTATATTCTCCGGAGTTTCGTTTGCGACGATAGTATTCGTGTGGACATTGGTGCCCGAGACCAAATGTCGAACACTCGAAGAGATTCAGGCGTCGTTGGTACGATAGGGATGAAGCCTAAATTTAACTGTACATTTTGCTTGTCTTTATTTCATATATATGCATATATACGCTCATATATATATATATATGCATGAGTTTCGATTTTGTGTAAGTCTGTAGAGCTTGTTATGTATATTCCATTGAACTAAAAAAAATGTATCTATATGGTTGGAATATAGGTTCCCAAAAAATGCAAGCATGATTTATATTAGAAGAATTTTGAGTGTGGTGCCATATAGGGATGTAAAATGAGCCCGGCTCGCGGGCTGACTCGTGTGCCAACCCATATTTTTCCGAGTCGGGTTCAAGTATTTTGAGTCCATAAAAAAACGGGCCACACGAGCCGGGCTCATGGCGAGCTAGCCCGTCACGATCTGGGCTGGCTCGCGGACCAGAACAAATATTTTTTTTTTTAAAGTTTTAATATTTATATATATACAAATTTTATTTTTATTACATATTTAGTTTATTTTGTTTAAAATTTTAATTTTTTTTATTATATTTTAGATATTTTAAAAATATTTTATATATTAAAATTATTTTTAAATATTTTTTAGTATTAAAATTTTATTTTAAAATTTTATATATTTGGTTCGCTGGCCGGCTCGTTTGGCTCGCGAGTTAAGACGATCTTGGTTTGGCTGATCTATTTTTGGCTCACTAAAAAACGGATTGGATTGGGTTGGATTAAAATTTTACCAGATCAGGACGATCCGGGCTGGGCTTGGCCGGACCAGCCCGTTTTACACCATGGTCCGTTTTGTTCGGTTTATTTTATTTTTGTGACCTCTCTCTTAAAAAGAATCGAGCCCATGATCTAACTGGGCCTATATGTTAATAGGCCTGCGTTAGGCCCACATGAACCGTCCATTTCGTGTACGGACAAAATTAAATATGATCTCTCTCATAGAAAAGTAGATTGTTAGGTAGTGACACTATATTTTAATGTGAATAGTTCACTCAATGTAATGCTGCGTACATATGCATAATTTATACAATGATTGTTAAAGATTCCCACGACAAAAGTATAATAATATAATAAGGTAATATAAAAAAATTAGTTGTTCGCACATCGGGACTGTCAATTTCCAATGATAATACGAATATATAATATATAAAAATAGTGCTGGGCATTTCGGTTCGGTTCTTTGGAACCAGAGCGAATCGAACCGAAAAAACGGTATTTTTTTCGATCCGAAACCGTTCTTAATTCTCGAACGGTACCATTTTTAGAGAACCGAATTTTTCCGAAACCGAACCGAACCGAACCGAACTTTAAAAATCCCGAAAAACCGAATATTTTTAAAGAAAATCTATCCTTTTTTAATAAAACCCGGAACCGAACCGAACCGATACCGAAACCAAACCGAACCGAATACAATATAAAAACCGATTGGTATCTATTTTTATAAAACCGAAAAAACCGAACCGATCAATTCCCGTCCCGAACCCGAACCGTTTTCTGAAACGCCCACCCCTACATAAAAATAACGTGCAATTATGTATGATGTAAAATCATATCTTTAATTACGAAATTTCATAAAAAAAAGATTAAGTGTAATATATTTCTTTCTTTTTTTTTGTAAACAAGTGTAATATATTTCAATTTTGTCAGTAATTGTTTATCATAGAAACATTTATTTGTGAACATATTTTTTATACAACACCAATATAGTTAAATTATTTTTAATAGAGAAGGTTATTTCCTTCGACGTCCCAAATTCGAATATAATATTTGGTATTGAGATTTAGAAGATTTGACACACTAATAATCCATAAATTTACATAGTTAAAATTGCCTAACTAATTTATTCCGATATCGATCGCCCGTAATCTCAAAAAGTGTCCTTTACGTTCGAATTACGGAAAGAAACAAATATCTAGTGTCCAATACACGTGTCTTGCATGTTAGTGGACGGAAGAAAAAATATCACGATATTATACAGCATTTTATATTATACGAGTTTTATAACATTTGAAAATGATTTTTTTAAAGTTAATACTCTATTTATCAAACAAAAAGTTAATACTCTAAAACATTGTGGTAAACATGAACTGAGTAGAGATATTCGATTTCGAGAATTTCTATCAGCTAATGACTCGGTTGATTCATTTATATTTTCTATATAAAATCATTAACGCTACAAATGATTATTCAAATAAATTCTTAATATTTTAAATAATAAAAAATACTCACTGTTTTAGTATAGACTGGCCTAGTATTTAAATAAAATGTTTAAAAGTTGTGATTACAAAATACCGATTTTTTTTTCTTCTAAAAAGAGAGTTTCTGATTAATTTATTAAGGGCACAAAAATCATGCGCGAAACTCTAATGGTTTAGTGACGCTCCGAAGTGGCGCGTTAGTTTCCTCCTCCCGTTACTCAAAAGAATATATATTCTGCAACACTCTTCAAGATGGAAGCAAACCCATCAACAAATTCGAAAACTTTCTCCGATAATCATCCCGGAAAAGCTGCCTCTGATATTTTCCCGTGGTATTTGTGTTGGGTCGCCGGAAAAAATGGCAGTGGTGGAGAAAAAGAGCGACTTGGAAGCTGGGCTGCTGAAGAAGGATCAGAACGACAACGGAGGGTGTCGTATCACCTCTGTCGTGCTCCTTAGTACGCTCGTTGCTGTTTGTGGTTCGTTCTGCTTTGGCTGTGCCGTGAGTGTTCTTCAACTGTTTGACGAAATTCCCCAATCTGGATCTTGTTTTTTTCTTTCCTGGTAAACCAATAGATTACATAGATATTTGCGTAAATTCCTTGGATTCTTTTAATGTGACCACGAGGGTATCTCTGTCGTTCTACACATCTAGTTGAAAGTACAAGCTATATGTGTACTTTAGCGGTAAACCTTGTGGGATGATTGATCAAATGAGTTGGTTTTTGGTAAATAGTTCCTGAAATGAAATCTGAATTTGGCCTCTTCAGATGGGATATTCATCGGTTGCTCAATCTGGGATCATCGAGGACTTAGGCATCTCTGTGGCAGAAGTAAGCAATCATACCTTGTCGTTTATCTTTTATTCCAGGAGTTGTTTATTGGCAAAAAGTCACTCAAGTAATAAACTTACCACTACGTTCTAATCTTCTGTTTGTGCTTCAGTACTCGATGTTTGGCTCAATCATGACATTTGGAGGGATGCTCGGTGCTATATTTTGTGGGAAAGTCGCAGATGTTCTTGGTCAAAGAGGGGTAGTTTATCACTCTTACATTTATTGATCTTACACGTATGATTCTCAAGCTCTAGTGCGTTGATTTTCTGATCCCTCTATATAACAGACAATGTGGTTTGCTCAAATTTTCTGCATTTCTGGATGGCTTGCAATAGCGTTCGCCCGGGTTTGCTTTTGCCTTTCTCCTTTTCATGAATTTCTCCACTATTTTTGAATCAATGTTTAGTATTTTATTTCTAGATTGTAACGTTTTGGAAAACCAATCTTGAAATGTAAAGGATTCACTGTGGCTAGACGCTGGAAGATTGTCAATAGGAGTTGGAGTCGGTCTATTTAGCTACGTGGTAATTTTGTTATCTCTTATTGCTTCATATTCATTCATACGTGTAAATCTTGCTGACTAAGAGGTTCTTGTACGAGCAGATACCTGTATATATCGCGGAAATAGCCCCAAAGCATGTCCGAGGGGCATTTGTATTTGCTAGTCAGGTATAGAATGATGACTAATCAATTACTACAATAATATGCTTGTGGTAGTAATAACGGTATTAACTCAATTTTTTTTCCTTTGGACATATCAGCTGACACTGAATTGTGGGGTATCACTTTTCTTCATAATCGGAAATTTCATTCCTTGGCGTAGATTGGCATTGATCAGTAAGAATATCTTCTACATGCTCTTCTCTAGCAGCTCGATTTTGGGATAAAATAACTGATTCTGATAAAATCTCATCTCAGGTCTCATCCCCTGTTCTTTGCAAGTCATTGGTTTGTTCTTCATCCCAGAGTCTCCGAGATGGCTGGTGCGTCCAGATTATAGAAACTAATCTTTTTTCCATAGTTACCCTTAAAAAGTTCAAAGGATGTTTTTTTTAACTTTCGGGAAAATCGGTTAATTGATGCATCATCTTTGTTTGACACGAACTGCAGGGGAAATGTGGACAAGAAAAAGAATGCAATGCTGCATTGCAGCGTCTCCGGGGGAAAGATGCTGACGTTTCTCAAGAAGCCAGTGCTATCAAAGTACATAAACATTTAAAATCTTTGTTTTCGATTGTTCTGTTGGTAAAAAAAAGTATGCTGAGATGGCGATTCTTTGGATTGACAACCGAATTCTTTTCCAATTTGCCTGTAGGAAACCGTGGAAATGTTTGAACAAGGCCCAAAACCCCGGATTGTGGACTTGTTTCAGAGAAGATATGCTACGTCGCTCATTGTAAGTCTTCAGAGAGGGGAATTTGCTTCCTAAAAGAGCTGATTTAGAACTCTATGTTTTGGAAATATACTGAGTACTTGGATCTATCTCTTTTTAATGTTTACAGATCGGTGTGGGACTAATGCTTCTGCAACAGCTATCTGGCTGCACTGGCATTACTTACTATGCCAGCAGCTTATTTGAAAGAGGAGGTAAATAATGAACCGATTTAGTCTTCTTTTCTAAATTAAGTATATTGACAATTCTTCTTCTTCACAAATGATTCTTCTTTTCCTTCTAAAGAGAACTAATGAGTAGTGAATCTATGCTTACCTTTGTTTCTCGTGATAGGATTTCCGAGCAGCATTGGCTCAACTGTTCTTGCCATGATTTTGGTACATACTTTGCACTGTTTCATTCAAGCATGCTTTGAATTTATGGAAAACTCTCCATACATTTATCCAAGAAATCATTCAAGCATGATTTCGGTAATTTTGGTACATGTCCCTGTTTGCAGGTACCCAAATCCTTTATGGGTCTGATCTTGGTTGAGAAAATGGGGAGGCGACCACTTCTTATGGTAAAATTTGGAATAATATCGTCATTTGTAACATAAAGCTTAGAAAGGTTGCATCATTTCTAACGAACAGGTGAATTTTTTTCAGACTTCTGCGGTTGGGACGTGCCTCTTCGGCTTGCTCCTTAGCATTTCCTTCTCCTTGCGGGTGACGACCTGAAAACACTTATATATTATCAAACTATGTATAAATTCTTCTCAAGATTTCCCAGACTTTTACTGTTATATGTGAAATAGTTACATGATCCTTGTTCCTTGATGAACAGTCACTTGGCCTTCTGAACGAGTTAACTCCCATGTTAACATGCATCGGCGTGTTGGTAAGTCTGATCAATCTTCAAGAAACACGATTCCCGTGTGTCTGTATTTCAGTATAAACCGCTAAATCTAGGGTATAAATCATCATCTCAATTTACGTATTCTCTCTCATGATTAGGGTTCTGTCACCGTTTATGCCATTGGGATGGGAGGCTTACCATGGATCATAATGTCCGAGGTAAAACACAAGAACATAACTATCTTCACTTGCCACTCAGTAACTTCTCAGACAGATAAGTTTCTGTTCTAAAAATTGTGACGGAATCATTTTCCGCCGCAGATTTTCCCGATGAACGTCAAAGTTTCTGCGGGAACCTTAGTTACCTTAGCTAACTGGTCCTTCGGTTGGATCATAGCATACGCATTCAATTTCTTGCTTCAATGGAGCGAATCTGGTAAGCATACATACATGAGCGCATGGATGTATCTGTGTATGCATATGATATACAAACACATGTCCGTAATCTTTAGTCCCGATTTTTCGATTTTCTCAATGAACTCAAACCGCAAGAAAATTTTGCAGGAACGTTCTTGATCTTCTCTAGCTTCTGCGCTGCGACTGTTGCATTTGTGTATGTGTTGGTACCTGAAACAAAAGGAAGATCGCTCGAAGAAATTCAAGCCTCTCTTGCAGATTTTCTGCTGTAAGATTCTCCGTTAACCCGAAATTAGTTTTTCGGTTTCGGGTTTACAAAAATGGTTCACAATGCATTGGCAAGTTTAAAGCTGCATCTTTGCAAGTCCTTTGTGTACACTTCTTGTGTACACTTAGCACTATATATGTATATGTATAAGAAGTGTACTATGCGCAAAAGATATCAAAATTAAAACTTGAATTATCGTGTAAATCTGCAATTTTTAATATATATTTCTATTTTCTATCGTTTAAATTTATAATTTGGAATATGGGATAATAATTTTTTAATATAGGTTTAAAAAATTAAAATGAATATTTATTTTTATAATTTGATATTTTATTACATAAAACAGATATAACCTTCAGTCGAAAGCTATATCTTAAAATAAATGTAAAAGATATATCTAAAATCTACATCCTATGTCCTACATCTTACAGTTTGTATGAATTAATATCATCAACCACTACACCATAATAATATAATATTATGAATATATTTGATGAATATTATTTCATATTGAGGGAATATCCGAAATGATCATATATATGTGATACAAAATGTTTGAAATTTAAATTTAAGGCTCTATCCGTACGGTTAAACATTCAATCACTCCACCTTCATTGCATTTAACATTGATAACAACTTCCAATTGATTAGCCATGCATGGCGACTTAAAAGGATAAGCATCATAAATAGAAAGTGCGTGTATACATACGTGAGCAGGAAAAAGACATCGTATGTATCGTATGGACCATAAACTACGTACGTGGACAAGAAAAAGACAACGTATATTACGATGGGCGACTACAAGGCGTTTATGTTCATGGACGGATAGGGTGGTGATTATTAAGATTAGTTTTGACTATTTAAACCAATTTAGACCAAAACAATAATTTTATGAAAATTAATGTTAATTTAATGTGTGAGCCGATAAAACCAAACCAATATACAAATATATATATGAACCAGAAATTACGTATATGACAATAAATAGAAAAAGGGCACGAGAAGAATGAAAGAAGGAGAGAAGAACAACGCGACGATTTATATGTACGGTAGAAGGCGTTATGATATACATCACTATCTAACGTGACACTTACGCTATAGAGCCCCAATCTATTTATTGCATATCCATTTCTCTGTCCAATTATTAATTACATGAACGTGAAAAATGACTCAAAACTGTTTTTTTTACGTTCCTCACATTTTATTTGTTTTTTTAAAAGTAAATTATACATACCCAAAAGAAACTTCTCTTATTCCAACAATTTTACATGCTCGAACCATTTTTTTCACAACTAATTTATATGATAGATTCTAGATTATATTGATGAGAAAAAGATTTTTAAAATAAGGGAAAAAAAGATGAAGTTATTGAAAATTTTAAGAAAAAAACCCCTAAAAATTCATAAACTTGCAATTGCGAAAATTATTTGACATTTTTTAATAAGATTAAGATTTATTGAGACACTTTTTACAAATTTAGGAATTATTTGGCATATTCGCAAATTTAGAAATTTTTTTTTCGCAATTTGCAAGTTCAGGGAAATTTAGAGATTTTTCAAAAAAAAAAAAAAATACTAAACCAAAGCAGTAACGGCTTTTTAACGAACCCCGCACGTTAAAAGACGTTCCCACCCTTACGAGTCAACCGAAGCCCGCCTTGTGTTTTGGCCTTTGCTTCTAACCCTCTCCACCGTCGGGAGGGTTCCATGTTTCTTTTTTGTTTTTTTTTGGCAATTCAAAGAATCGTTATTTTTTTTTTCGCAACGCAAAAAAAGTCATTAGCTTAGTTTTTATTTGAAGAAAAATTGGAATTATTGTTTAAAGTGATGAGAAACGTAATTTTTATAAGATAATTTGAGTTATTTGAACCAAAATTGTTAGTATAAGATAATTTGAATCATAGTCGAATAATAAAAATAAATATAGTACATTACCAAAAAAAATAGTATAAGATAATTTGAATTTCAGAATCGACTCTCATTACTGATACAACAACTTTTTTTTTTGTTGCCATAACTCTCAATTAATAGTTGTCTAATATACGTGGCCATTATTATTATTTTTTGTTTTTTTTTCCTCACTCAATAAATAGAAAAGGGCTCAAGGAGGAGAACGAAAGAAGTTAAAAGAACAGCACGACGTTTCGTATTACACGTATCACTCTAACGTATCGCCTATATATGGGACCGAAATATTTATTTATTTATTTATTTTTGTTAAAAGACCAAAATATTTATTGCAACTCCATTTCTACTCTATCCGTTATTAGTTTCACGAATACGAAAAAAATGAATGAACCAAAATTTTTAATACCATTATACATTCTGCTTGATTGTTGGCGTTAGAGTTTTAATAATAAATTCAATTGTGAAAATCTGTGAATTTAACATTTTATAAAATGCTTGAAATATATAAAAATATCGAATTATACATAAATGCATCGGAATTGGAACGAATCCATCCATATACACAAACTATTCTCTAAGTATATACTGCATCATATATATTTATATAAATAAACTTTTTATATTCATTTCTTTTGAGATATATATATAGAGAATTTATTTAGCTTTTTTAAAAAATATTTACCTATATTAGTAATTTTATAGTATTTTTTTAATCTAAACACATGCGACGCGATTCATATGCATTCTAGTTTACACGCATGTCCAGTGTCATATTTTCGAACTCTCGCAACAAGATATAATTAGACGACATTCGTGATTTTTTTATAATACGGAAGTTTAATCGATTTTTGACCCAAATACATCTTGTAGAGAATCGGAAAAATTCAGGTGAATAACTTTCTCCACGTTTGGATTTGAACTCGTACTAGATCATCCAAACTTGTATAGATATTCGTGATTTTCAATAATCACATTAAAATTTTGTATTTTTATATAATTTTTTTAGTCTATTATCAATAAAGTTTGATCTTTGTCTATTCACAAACCATACTAACCTTTTCGGTGGGAAAAAATAAATCTATGGGTCTAATGGCTGAATATTATTTTTTGTTCCTGACATTACAGGATAAACGTTCCAACAATTGAGTCGTCAGCCGCAAGATCAATGATTAATGTTAAGGTTAAGATTGTGAAAAAATAGAATCTGCGTTCTACGTTTGGTCAACGATGGTTGGCTTTTAAAAGTTGGCTTCCTCTATTTCTGCGTTGCTTCTCCTTGGCCTCTAAAATTCGGCAAACTGTCCAAAACAATGAGCATTTTTCAATTATTACGTCACAGTTCATTTCTATAAAAATATTATATATCCGTTTCATATTTAAAACGGGCCAATCTCATTTTCTTTTCTTTTTCTAATTAAGATCATTTAAACATTGTCGAAAAAAAAAATACTTTTTATAGTAGCTTTTAAATAAAATGATCCAGAATATTATAATATTTATATTTTAATGTCAGATACAATATTACTTGTAAATTTAAAATAAATTATTTAAAAGTAAATGGTGTTTACCTGGAGTGTATATAATTTTAGTTGCCTCGTTTTCAAAATAATGAACTAAAAAAAGGGGTAATTGCATATACTTACCAATTCAAACGCCTCAATTTCACCCCTAGTTTTAAATAAAAATTTTCAGAATTTATTATTATTTTAAGTCGAAATTGCCTTTGAATTGATGTATTGTATTAATGCATTGTATGTGTATACAACTGTTTAAATGCTGCTTTTGATCAATTTAGTCGTATTCAAAAAATAGTATTATTAACGATTAACGACGGTTCTGTAATTTTGAAAAAAAAAATGAAATTGGTGTTAACAGATTAAGAATATTAATTACGCTGTTTACTTACTCGAAAGAACCGTGTTAATTCATGAATTTTAATATTGGTAATAATTCAACAAAAATTCAAAGTGTTCCTTTAGTTTAACACGCTAATCAATAGTGGCATGTAAGCAAATTACCTTGAAATATTTTATATAATCTTTTAAATATTTATATCGTATTTTTTTTGTAATTCTTAGTATATTTTGGAACTGGCAAAGATAAGATGGGGTGGATCTCAATAACCACTTGTTGCTGTCTTTTCTCCAATGGATCATTTCAATGAACTTATTGGAGAAAAAGATATTTTTCTCTCAATGGGAAAAAGGAAAAAGAGTGAGAAAGGTTTGTTTTAAAATATTTTATCGATTATATTATATTTAAATATTTTATTAATATTATTGTTTTTCATAAAAACTGATCAGATCACCAATAAATACTAAATAGGGTTTAATCGCTTCACGAAAAATGATTAATCATCTCATATTCCAACATTCACTTCCTATATATAGAAAGGGGACTCATTAGATTACATACCCATTAGAACTTAGGAAGTTTGATTTTTCAAAGAAATATGATAATAACATTTTAATGCAATACAAATATAATAGTATGATTTTTTTTTTTAAAAAGAGAATGATAAATCTTTGTTAATGTATTTGTCCCTTGATGGATTTTTTTTTTAAAACGTAGTTGACAACTTGGCATGGTCCACTGTTATCTGAATAAATAAAAATTTGTAATTATAGCACACGATAATACAAAATATAATATAAATATAATAAATTCGCCCGCCAATAACTTAAATAAAGAAAATTCCGATTAATTGAATAAATCAAATCCTCAAGAAATTGTCGATGACCGAATCAGAGATTCATTATCCAAATGCAGACAAAAATCGACAGTCCCTCCTCGTGACCTTCCTGTTCCATTCCTTTTTTGGTATAAATACGCTGCTACTATATCTTCAAAATGCAAGCTACCCATCTCGAAATTATCAATCTTTTGCTGGAAAATTTTCCGGAAAACATTTCTCGGGTATTTTCTCACCGGTCTTGGTGTTGGGTCGTCGGAAAAAATGGCGGTGGTGGAGAAAGGGAATAACTTGGAAGCTGGGTTGCTGGAGAAGGATCAAAACGACAACGAAGAATGTCGTATCACTCTTGTTGCGCTCTTCAGTACGTTTGTTGCTGTTGGTGGTGCGTTCTGCTTTGGTTGTGCGGTGAGTGTTCTGTAATGTCCATTAACTGTTCAATGAAATGCCCCTTTGAGATGATTTTGTCGGAAATTGTTCTAAATTACATGGCAAGCTTCGTTTTTTCCTCCAACTGTTTGCATTTGTGGATACGTATCCCACATGTACATCTATGAAGAGTTCTTGGCTTTTGTTTAGTGTTCCGTTGAAGTAGCTCAATGTTAATCTGCATTTGCCATTGTGGGTTGGTATTGTTTTCTTTTATTTGCAGATTATCTAAGTGTATTGATATGTATCTTTGATTGTGTATACAGACAGATGTATATATTATATATGTACATAAATCCATCTATGCATGTAATGAATGGATGCGAGCTGATCTTTTTTTGTTGAAAAGGAATTCAACTGAGAGTTTTTTTGGTTGGATTTTGCAGGCTGCTTACTCATCGGCTGCTCATTCTGGGATGACAAAAGATTTAGGGCTCTCTGTTGCGGAAGTATGCTATCACAGCCCTTACTCGCAGTTCTTTGTTCATCTTTCATTCGAATCTTTGTTTCTTTCTCAGTAAAGCATCACTTGAGGCACCCATTTTAGCATTTAATCTGTCTGATTCGTCTGTATATATCCGTTCACGCCGCAGTATTCAATGTTTGGGTCAATCTTGACATTTGGAGGGATGATCGGTGCTGTATTCAGTGGGAAGGTTGCAGATGTTCTTGGTCGAAGAGGGGTAAGTTTTCTTAACTTATATAATGCTAACATGTTTGTAAATGTTCACATAACACAAGCACACAAAAAAAGACTTTGTCGGTTTCAAGTTTCATTAACGTCCGATTTCTCTGTTGTATCTTGAAAAACAGACAATGTGGTTTGCTCAAGTTTTCTGCCTTCCGGGCTGGCTTGCAATAGCATTTGCCAAGGTTTGCATTTAACATTCATTTCCTATTTCATTTCCTCGGGAAATGATTTTTCTAAACGAACTCCGAGATTCTAAGGCTTGTAAAAACAAATTTTAACCGTGCATAGGATTCACTGTGGTTAGATGCCGGAAGATTGTTGCTAGGAATTGGAGTTGGTCTATTTACTTATGTGGTAAGTTCCTCCTCTTTGTTTCCTCTGTTTTTTTTTCTATATGTAGATATTTAGTTTACCTGGTACTGACTAAGAGATTCTTGAACATGCAGATACCTATCTATATTGCGGAAATAACACCGAAACATGTCCGAGGGGCATTCGTTTTTGCGAATCAGGTATGGAAGATTAAGAGAGGCTAATGATTTAGTAAAGAAATCTTTTACAATTCACTTACACTTCTTTTGTTCTTTTCTTTAAATGAAGCTGATGCAAAATTGCGGAATTTCACTTTTCTTCATCATCGGTAATGTCATTCCCTGGCGGACATTGGCGCTTATCGGTAAGCTTAGTTTCTTATTGTCCTTATATGACAGCATATTTTGCAGGTTTATCTAATTCTTGACTGGCTAAAGTATCTTAATTCATGACTCTTTCTCAGGATTCCTTCCATGTGCTTTGCAAGTTGTTGGTTTGTTCTTCATCCCAGAGTCTCCGAGATGGCTGGTATGCCCGAATATTACAATCCTAATGTCTTTATAAGTAACTAAAGATGCCCATCTGATGTTAAGTATGAGGTTATGAAATTTTCTGATGACAGCTTGATTCAACTAGTTTAGGAGACCTTTCGACATTTTAACCCTGAAGTTGTAACCTTTTTTACGAATTTGTCGAACTGATTGTTTCGTACTATGGTCTAAATATCATCAAAATTCTATCGGTTTTCTAAATAAAGAACCCATTTAAAGCTTTAAACATGAAAGTTGTTATCTTCTGGGAGAAATATATACTTGATGTTAATGATTTTTACTTAAACGGTCTGCAGGGGAAAAGTGGACGAGACAAAGAATGTAAAGCTGCATTGCAGCGTCTCAGGGGACATGACGCTGATATATCTCGAGAAGCAAACGCTATCAAAGTAAGAGTTACACCAAAGTCGACCGAGTGAAAGCCGAGGCATATTAAAGTACCCTAAGAAATTTCTTGAGATTTAATAGTCATAAAACTACAAAAGAATTAATTCTTCTCAAATTCCCTGTAGGACAATATGGACATGTTTGTTCAAGGCCAAGAATCCCGGGTTATGGACTTGTTCCAGAGAAGATACGCTCCGTCCCTTGTTGTAAGTGTGCAGAATAAACTATCTTCCCGAAAGGTTTATTTGCAACAAAGGATTAGTGTTTAACGCATCGGATCCTATGAACATTTTGTAATATGTTTTTTCAGATCGGTGTGGGGCTTATGTTTCTGCAACAGCTCTCTGGAAGTGCTGGTTTTACATACTATGCTAGTAGCTTATTTGAAAGAGGAGGTAAACCAAGCAACGTATTTGTTTATGTGTTAGCATGATGATAAATCTTGACACATTACCAAATATTGATCCCCATGGTTCTCATGGCAGGGTTTCCGAGCAGCATAGGCTCAACCGTTCTTGCCATCATTATGGTACATCTTTTGTCACTTTCACTAGCTGATGATTTAACAGAAAAACAAGTTTTCTTTAGAGCTGCCCATGAATATGTCTTGCCAAGAGACAAACTTATATAGGTATACACTGATTGCAGATACCAAAATCCATGGCGGGTCTGATCCTGGTTGAAAAAATGGGCCGGAGACCGCTTCTCATGGTAAAATTTGAATGTTATATCATCTAGTTATCGTATCTTGTACGTAAACCCGACAAAAAATGGTTGCATTCCTTACAACAAATGGAGATCTTTGCAGGCTTCTGCTGCAGGGATGTGTCTCTGTAGCTTGCTTCTCGGTGCTTCATTCTGGTTCCAGGTAATGAAACGTCAAACTGCTTTAAAAATACGCATACATGATTCTTCAAGCTTGAATTGTTGTACCGAATCATGGATTTTTCCTCTATATACTAAAAATTTCCATTCTTGTAATATTCATGATGGGCAGTCAATTGGCATTCTTCATGAGCTCACCCCGATATTTACATGCATTGGTGTATTGGTAAGTTGCTCATCCTTCAAGAAAAGATGATTACTCTCGTTCAGATAAATCATTGTAGTTGACATTTTCCTCCAAAATTAGGGTTTTATAACTACATACGCCATGGGGATGGGAGGCTTACCATGGATCATAATGTCTGAGGTAAATGAAGCTATCGGTTTTCACATCCGGAGCCTTCTGAAACCCGGCAAATTTCAGTTCTAAAATGAGTGACTGAATCATTTTTCGCTCTCAGATTTTCCCGATGAACGTTAAAGTTTCTGCCGGAACCATAGTGACCTTAGCGAACTGGTCCGTTGGTTGGGTCGCAACATACGCTTTCAACTTCTTGCTGCAATGGAACGAATCAGGTATATATAGATACACACACACATATACATATATATATATATATATATATATATGCTCAAATACATAATATCTGCGGACCCAGTAAGTTATTTTGTCTGAAACTCTCAAATGGATGTGAAATTTTGCAGGAACGTTCTTGATTTTCTCTAGCGTCTGCGCCACAGCTATTGCGTTTGTGTACATGTTGGTGCCGGAGACAAAAGGAAGAACACTTGAAGAGATACAAGCTTCTCTTACGAATTTTCTCCAATAAGAACTCGTAGAATCTAAACTTTTTCGTCATTTGTTTGTAGAATTATATTCATTCTTTTTCCACATTTGCTCTGAAAATCTGTAAAGGGGTATAGTGAAATGCCTTGTAAAGGGTTCTCTGGTTTCAAAGTTTGCATATATGTCGATTTCTTGGGACACAAGTTACCTGTCTTATTTCGGCCACTGTATAATGTAACATATTTCCTCCAATGAAGTAAAAAGATTGTTCTCATAGTGCAGAAAAACGACAAAATGAAAGCACGCAATGCACATCCTTCCATCTCTAAGGATCTTTCTTATGTTATTTAACAATTTTCATGGCTGAAAAATTCAACCTTTCTTTATGCATATATAATTGGAGGATCATCGATTAGGAGTAAAAGAATCAAAAACGCAAATGTTCTATAAATAATCTAGCATTGATGACATCTGATGTAAAACTTCAGGAATTTCACACGTCCTATCCACCTGCAACCCGAAGCCTGTGTGCGTCAGTTCATGTCTATGTAACATACTTCTCCAACCATATGACGGCCTTCCTCTGCCCCAAGTTCTGCTTCAGCCCATTTGATTTGCAGATACCAACTTTCATTATCTTAGCAGACTATCCTCTTTCCATCAAAACCAAATCCAAAAACCAAGCCTACATATCTTTTCCTATCTAAATTCTGTAAAATCCCACTCTAATGAGGTCAATCAACTACTTTACGGACCTCAAATGGAACGAAACACCACGCAACGAACTCTCTTTACAGAGACATGATGTTCTCAGCATGATCCGGGAAGGTGCACACTTGCCAATTTCTTCCATGATCTTCAATCCCATCAATCCGAACACTTCTAAAACTCTCTCTCTTGATATCATAGAACATAACGCAAAAAGGTTTGCGCGAAGAGAGCGGTGCAAATATTATTTCGCCGGTATGGGTAGTACCATTGATGACTGCTTGGCCCGACACCCACAGGCTTAAACCTCTCAAGGATTGACGCATAACAGATATTCTCGACCATCGATGTTTCTTGGCATCCTCCAAAATCAACAAATCGATACTATACGCAGGTCCTTCAACTATGGCTAATTTCCCCTGGTAGTTTATCAACCTTGTAGAAAAAATAAGCCACACGTTGTAACCTTCACCTATTCTAATGAAATCAAACTTTTCAGACCTCAGATCGAAGCTCACTACAAAACATTCTTTCATCTCTGCGCCACTGCAAGCTCCGTAATACAAAACCCCATTGATGCATAAACCCTCAGTCGCTGGACAATGAGGAAAGCTACATTCGATCATTCTCCACGATTTTTCTTGAGCTCCTCCCAATGTCAAAACTTGATGCTCCCCAGCTGCAACTTTACAACTCTTATAGTGAGCCACACATTGGGTCATGCACAACACTTTGTACCGATGATCGATTGGATCATATCCGAAAAAGCTTGTTATACCCTTTTTCCTAGATCTAACTTTGGGCAAGGTTATGATCTGTCCTGTCGTAGGGTTACATATCACCAATCGAGTTCCACCAGATTCGCACAAAATCAAGCCTCCGACAGAATGCGAGATAACATGACCAGGATGCAGATTCAGATATTTCGTATGAACAACATCTGATGACGTGGTTTCGTAAGGCGTCGAGGAGTAGAACAGTCGACTACCGTCTCGTCCCCTGAGGACGAAAAGGAAACGCGGCTGAGTGAAGGAGTGAGTCAGGAACGAGTCGATGAAGTCTGGACGTCTGATGATGGATCCCCAGAATTTCGATACGCGAGCGAACCTCATAACCGATTCCGGTGGCAACCTCAACAGAATCTCGAATATCAGGTCCGGAAGAACTGGATCTGAATTACATCGATTCTCTGGGGTTGTCGGAGACTGTCCTTTGCCGTCTATCCTCCTCCTCTTCTTCTTATTCTTCTCCATACCGTGATTATTCATCGACCCTTTCATGGCCACGAAGAACCCTAAACCCAATCCGATCTCGTCTGCTTTTTTTTTTCCCTTTATACTTTTCGTAGCATAACCCTATACACCTTTTTTTTTTTGTCGTACATAATATACATAATTAATTCTATATATTTTTTTTTAAAATTTCCCCACCTATTAGATATTTAATTGGGTTCTATATAAAGCCCTAAGCATGTGAATTTTCACCAATTAGACGCCCTCGATGTTTGGGCTGCCCAATCAAAGCCCATATAAATTAAAAAAAAGTCTCGGCCCAAACTAGGGCTCGATCTGGGTGGGTCGGTAGGGCTGTAAAACGACCCTTATCTACCAGCTTCAAATGCGTTCGTTAAATCAAAATCTCTCTCTTCCTTTATTGACTTTTGCCTGGAAATTTATCGACGAAAATACGAAGTAGACAAATCAATGAAAATTGCATTGAAGGTTCCGTTCCGTCTTAGCGGACAAGAACAAACCCCCAAAATGAGAAATGGAGAGGGAAGCATTCTAGGAATCCACAAAATTCTCTTCTTGATCTTTGCATATCAATGGCTTCTCCAGGAAGAAAGCTCCTTCATTCAGCCTCACCGATGGATTCTCCAGATACCAAACGACGAAAAACCCTAACTCTGCCCTCTCCCTTTCCTTCTTCTTCTCGGCGTTGGAGATACGACGTCTTCCCGAGCTTCCGTGGTCAAGATGTCCGCAGCAGATTTCTCTCCCACGTTCGCAAAGAGTTCTATCGCAAAGGAATCATTACATTCGACGATAATGGGATGGAGAGAAGCGAATCGATCTCAAATGTACTCGTACAAGCCATCCAAGAATCTCGGATGGCGATCGTCGTTCTCTCCGAGAACTACGCTTCTTCCAGCTGGTGCTTGAACGAGTTGCTCCATATCATGAGCTGTAAGGATTCCGCCGAACTGAAAGTGTTCCCCATCTTCTACGATGTGGATCCATCTGATGTACGGAAACAGACAGGGGAATTCGGAAGGGCTTTTGAAGCAACTTGTGTGGGTAAATCGGAGGAGGAGAAGCGAAGATGGAGTCAAGCTCTAACCGATGTGGCCGGTCTTGCAGGAGAGCATTCACTGAACTGGTTTGTTCTTTCTGTCCAACTTGTATGCTATGTTTTCCGACGTATCTTGTTGAATTTCGATCATGATTATCATGATCTTGATAACGATAACGGGATGGAGAGAAGCGAATCTATTGATGATCATGATCATAATTGGGATTATCATGCTGATGGATCATATCTTACGTTCTTCAAAATAGTTTGATGAATAAGAAACTCTGCATCTGTTGCTTAATTGTCTGATTGAGGTGATGTTGTTCTTTCTTTCTTTCTTTTGTTAGGGATGGGGAAGCAGCCATGATTGAAAAAATTGCTTCTGTTGTTTTGAAAGTGCTGAATCACACACCGTCAGGAGATTTCGATGACTTTGTCGGAATGGGATGTCATATGGAAAATCTGATGCAGCTGTTGTGTTTGAAATCAGATGAAGTGAGGTTTGTGGGGATATGGGGTCCTGCAGGCATTGGTAAGACCACCATTGCCAGAGCTTTGTTCCAGTTACTCTCTCCCAACTTTAGTCTTAGTTCTTTCCTAGAAAATGTCAGGGGAAGCTTTGAGAGAGCTGGACGATATTCCTCACAATTGCAACTTCAACAACTGCTTTTGTCGGAAATCTTTGACACCAAGGATATAAAGATACACCATTTAGGAACAGTACGAGAAAGACTAAGGGAACAGAATGTCTTTATCGTTCTTGATGATGTGGATGCGTTGGAACAATTAGAAGCCTTGGCGGGCAACATCGACTGGTTTGGTCCTGGAAGCAGGATCATTGCAACTACTCAAAATAGGAAACTTCTTAAAGCCCATAGGATCAACCATGTATACGAAGTGCCTTTTCCATCTAGTCCTGAAGCCCTTGAGATCTTTTGTCGATATGCTTTCAGACAAAGCTCTCCACCTGATGATTTTCATGACTTATCTGTTTCAGTTACAACACTTGCCGGTGACCTCCCTCTAGCTCTTAGCATATTGGGTTCGTCTCTACGAGAAGAAAGCAAGGAAGAATGGGAACTTGCTTTGCCAAGGCTCAGATCTACTCTCGATGGCGAAATTGAGAAAACACTAAAAGTGGGGTTTGATAGCTTATCCCATAAAGATAGATCTCTATTTCTTCACATCGCATGCCTCTTCAACAACGAAGAGGTTGGTGTTCTATCTCAACTGTTTGGGAAGAGTGAGTTGAACCTCGAATTTGGCCTTAAAGTCCTAGAGGAGAGGTCTCTCATACGTATAGATGAAAGGAGAGTTGTAAGGATGCACTATTTGCTTGAGGAAATGGGTAAAGAGATCATCCGCGGAGAATCAGATGATCCGGGGAGACGTCAATTTGTATGGGATGCTGAGGATGTTTACCATGTGCTCTCCGAAAACACGGTAATTTTCGTCACTACAATATTCAATAAGTTGATTGGTAAAATCTAACTCATAATTTGAGATTTTCATTCTTTTGACATGTGTTTCAGGGTACTGAAATTCTCTCAGGCATATCTTTAGACACATGGGAATTAACAAACGAGTTGTGCATAAGTGACAACACCTTCCAAAGGATGCCCAATCTCAAGTTTCTAAGGTTCTCTAAGTCTAAGGGTGATAAAGTGAAGCCGTTGAATGTATCAGAGGAAGGGTTGAGTTATTTACCGAGTAAGCTTTCGTTGTTGGAGTGGAGATATTACCCTCTCAAGACAATGCCTTGCAGGTTTCGTCCTCAGTGTCTAGTTAGACTCAAGATGCGACGCAGTAAGCTTGAGAAGTTGTGGGACGGAATACAAGTAAGTGAATTAATATTTATTTTTCTCCCTTCTTTTATGATCGGAAATGTACTTTATGAATTTTGTTTTTAAAAATAATGATATTTTTATGTCTTTTGATATGCTAATTTGAATTAGTTATTATGAATAGAAAACCTCCCAATTAACTAAGGTTAGTTAGTTTGTTTGCTATTTAATCGTAGGGAATATGGTCCAAAAAACATTATTCTGTTAATATGGTTTTAAATTGGATTATTCTGTTAATATGGTCCAAAACAATTATAACTAAAATTTGGTAGCTAAGTATTTTTTTTTTTCTTTTTGCAAATTGCTAATTCTATTTGATCTTACACTTTTAAAAGTAGTTTTGATATTTTAATAATTAAAATCAGTTATTTCCGACAATTTTGTTTATTTAACCAAACCCTGTATTGAATTTTATGAGATATTAAGTAACGAATATATTCTTGTGTGTGTGTGTTTATTTTCAGCCGCTTCGCAGCCTCAGGCACATGGACTTGAGTTGGTCTTACAGCCTCAAAGAAATCCCCGACCTCTCTAATGCCGTCAACCTCAAATATTTATTACTTGGAGGTTGCAAAAGTTTGGTCAAACTTCCTGATCTTTCAAATGCCGTCAATCTCGAAACTCTGAATCTTGATGGTTGCTCAAGTTTGGTCGAACTTTCGAATTTTTCAAATGCCGTCAATCTCGAAACTCTAGATCTTGGAGGTTGCTCAAGTTTGGTTGCGCTTTGTCATCTTTCGAATGCCAAGAAACTTCGCTACTTGTTTCTTCAGGGTTGCTCAAGTTTGGTCGAACTTCCTGATCTTTCAAATGCCGTCAATGTCAAAATTCTGAATCTTCGTGGTTGCTCTAGTTTGGTAAAACTTCCTGATCTTTCAAATGCCGTCAGTCTCGAAGCTCTGGTTCTAAAGAGTTGTACAACTTTGGTGACATTTGCCACATCTCTACGGGAACTAAATAAACCGGAGGGGATGGACATGGAGGAATGCACAAATCTCGAGATTTCAAAAAACATTTGGCCCCTCTCAGTTGGAGAAGTGCCTTCTTCGATTCCACAATGGACTTATTGTCTTACCGGTGTTAGGATGGAATGCTGCCGAAACCTCAGGACATTCCCATGTTTTCCAGCCAATTTGAAGCAGCTATATCTGAGCCACACCGGTATAGAAGAAGTTCCTTCTTGGATCCATGAAATCTCTTCCCTTCAAATTCTAGACATGTCTTCTTGTGAGGAGCTAAAAATTATCTCGCCGAATGTTTGCCACTTGGAACACCTAAAGGAGCTGGATTTCAGTCGATGCAAGAGCGTTACCAGCTTTCCCGCAGAAATCTTCTCAGCTAGAGGGCTACGCCTGGAAGACGTTCACCATAAAAGTCTGCCAACGTGTCTACCTGAAAGGTGTTCAGCATCGGTGGAAAATCTAGATTTGTCGGGTTGTGATTTCGAGAGCATTCCAGATTACATCAAACACCTCTCTCGGCTAGAGACCCTGCGGCTCGACGGCTGTGAAAATCTCGTATCACTGCCCGAGCTTCCAGAATCGCTCCGTTCCCTATATACTTCTAACTGCAAGTCACTTGAGAGAGTATATGGCTCCTTCTCGAGACAGGGTGAAGTACTCGACTTCACCAATTGCCTCAAACTAAGCAAAGAGGCACGAGAGGTCATCCGACGAGCAGACTTTGGGGAGGTGATACTCCCTGCAAGCGAAATACCTAAAGATTCTTCTCCTCTTCAGGCTACCTGAAGTTCGCTGACCATCCTTCCAGCTGATCAGATCATTGCTCCTGCTTCATTTAGATTCAAGGCCTATATCGTCGTAGTTGCCCCACAATCTGTCGAAGACCCTTGTCCTCCACTCACAGTTGGAATATGTTGCCGTTTTACTGACAAATACGGTGGATGTAGGCAATTTAATTGGGAAGTCGAGAATGGACTACATTCCATGATTTATAGAGTTTCACCATTGAAGGAAGAGCATCTCGTTGTCACCAAACTACGGCAGTAACTAAGAAGCAACGTCTTGAGATTCGTCAACTTTGAAAGGTCGGGAATTTCTTTCAGATTATAAGAGCGTCTCAAGTTCATGCGCTTGAGATTTCCGATAGGATGAAACAAAGACAAAACATGTGAAATCTGTAATGATACAAAATTGACAGAAAGAAACAGATATTATCATCAAGTCTACTTGTATTCCATCCCACAGCTTCACAATATCACTGAGCACGAGGTCGATTTCAATGAGAAATTTTGGACAAAATGTCGGTCTTAGCTTATCGGGAAGATAGCTCAAGCCCTCGGGGAAACACAAAAGCCCCGAAGGTTCACCATCATATATACTTAGGAACTGCGCATTCGGTATTCTTTCAGATGCCTTACCGCTTATATGTCGTCTACAAGCTAATTCGGATACGTCGAGCGATATACCTAACACAGATTCAGCAGTCTGAAACACATACATCATGTCCAGAAGCAGAAGAATGGTTAGCGTTATTGTTTTGAGTTACTGATCACCGCACCGATCAAAACTGAGAGGTATGAGTATAAACACAGGGCGTAGAGTTTGGAAAACGCTGACCACCGGTTTTTTCTTTCCGTTGAATTAGTCATCTGTTCTTCAGTTTCTTGGTCATCATGATACGTCTCGCCGGTCATAATTTAAGTTTGTTAAAAATGGACACATCATGATTAGGATTCACATTTTGAGGGGACGAATGGATTCACATTTTTCAATCTCTGTTCGTGTCATAACTTGAGAAAGAAGTCGCAATCAAAGTTAGATCGATCAAGAAAACGTAATGCCGGTAAATATGGGTTGAATAGACTCTATATATATAAATCCAAATCTATGATTATGAACACACGGACGTAAAGAAAAAGTTTCAGTGTTTCTCTCTTCTTTGATTGACTTTCCCTTTTGAAATTTGTGAATATATGACGATTGCTCCTTCGTTCAGCTCTCAAGCATGGCTTCCAGAGAAACCAAACGACAAAAAACCCTATCTCTTCCCCTTCACCTTCCTTCTGTCTCTCGCCATTGGAGATATGACGTCTTCCCGAGCTTCCGTGGTGAAGATGTCCGCAGCAGATTCCTCTCCCACGTTCGCAAAGAGTTCCACCGCAAAGGGATCATTACGTTCGACGATAACGGGATGGAGAGAAGCGAGTCGATCTCCCATGAGCTCGCACGAGCCATCCAAGAATCTCGGACGGCGATCGTCGTTCTCTCCAAGAACTACGCTTCTTCGAGCTGGTGCTTGAACGAGCTGCTCCATATCACGAGCTGTAAGGATTCCGCCGGTCTGAAAGTGATCCCCGTTTTCTACGAAGTCGATCCATCTGATGTTCGGAACCAGACTGGAGATTTCGGAAGGGCTTTCGAGGGAACTTGTGCGGGAAAATCGGAGGAGGAGAAGCGAAGATGGAGCCGAGCTCTAACCCATGTGGCCGGTCTTGCCGGGGAGCATTCAAACAATTGGTCTGTTCTTTCCATCCAACTAGCGTTACGCATATTATTGAACTTTTCAAAATATTTTGAGGAATAATTGTTAGGAAAAAAAAAACAAAAGAATAGGAACACAAACATTAATCCCTCCCGTAAATGGGATCAACGGAATATGCTATTGAGATTATAATGAAGTATTAACAATTTTGGGTTATCGTTTTTTGAAAATAAAATAAAATAAATCTCTTAACAATACACTCAAGTCAACATAATATTAATCGAATTTTTCCCCCGTCTCTAATATATGTTTTTATTTTATTATTTTAGTTAACTAATATTAAATACAAAAAATGAGGGTTTGACTCTTGATAAAAATTACAACTATTTTAATTAAGTTAATATAAAATGGTGAAAACTTATTGTAATTTCTATGCATATATCTTTTCATTTAAATTTATTTGTAAACGTAACATTTTATTTGAATTTAAATAATATTATCTAAAAATATATCTTATCCAATTTTACGATTTATTTCACTCTAATTGTGTAGAGTGCATTATTATTCCTAACGTGTAAAGAATGTGAAAGGGTGAAGACCTTTGGCTTTGACCATCTGATCTGAGGTTGTGCTCTTTCTTTTGTCAGGGACAGTGAAGCAGACATGATCGAGAGAATCGCCATTGTCGTCTCGGAAGTGCTGAATCTCACACCGTCGAGAGATTTCGATGACTTTGTCGGAATGGGATCTCATATGGAAAATCTGCTGAAGCTGTTATGGCCGGAATCCGATGAAGTGAGGTTTGTAGGGATATGGGGCCCTGCAGGCATTGGTAAGACCGCCATTGCCAGAGCTTTGTTCCAAAGACTCTCTAGCCGCTTCAGTCTTAGTTCTTTCTTGGAAAATGTTAGGGGAATTTACGAGAGATCTAACCAATATTCCTCGCAGTTACGATTACAGCAAAGGCTTTTGTCTGAAATCTTTGACCTCAAGGATGTAAACATAGGCCATTTAGGAATGGCACGGGAAAGGCTGAAGCATCACAATGTTCTGCTCGTTCTTGACGACGTGGACGAACTGGAGCAACTAGAAGCCTTGGCGAGCAACACCAGCTGGTTTGGTCCGGGAAGCAGGATTATCGTGACTACTCAAAACATAAAACTTCTTAAAGCCCATAAGATCAACCACGTATACAAAATGCCATTTCCGACTAGCTGTGAAGCTCTTGAGATCTTTTCTCGGTATTGTTTCGGAAAAAGATCTCCGCCTGATGACTTTCACGGCTTAGCGGTCGAAGTCACAGAACTTTCTGGCAATCTTCCTCTAGCTCTTACCGTCCTCGGTTCATGTCTACGAGGAGAGAGTAAGGCAGAGTGGGATCTTGCTTTGCCGAGGCTCAGAACTACTCTCGACAGTAAAATTGAGAAAACACTAAAAGTCGGGTTTGATAGCTTGTCTCATAAAGATAGATCCGTATTTCTTCACATTGCTTGCCTATTCAACAACGAAGAGGTTGGTGTTCTATCTCAACTGTTTGCCAAAAGCGAGTTGAACGTCGAATTTGGCCTTAAAGTCCTAGTCGAGAGGTCTCTCATACGTATAGATACTCAAGGAGTTATAAGGATGCACTCTTTGCTTGAACAATTGGGTAAAGAAATCGTCCGGGGACAATCAGAAGATCCCGGAAAACGTCAGTTTCTGTGGGAAGCTGAGGATATTTCTGAAGTGCTTTCAGAAAACACGGTAAGTTTTTGTACATCTTGGTTAGATACAATTAAACTGATTAGTGCACTCCTAACGTCAAGCCAATTTCCGCCTTTGGACACATGTTTCAGGGTACAAAAGCTGTTTTCGGCATATCTCTAAACTTGGCTGAATTAGCCGATGAGGTTTGTATAAGTGACAGCACATTCGAAAGGATGCGGAATCTCAAGCTTGTAAGGTTCTTTAAGGCGTGGAGCCATAATTACAAAGTGAATCTGCTGAATGTATCAGAGGAAGGGCTGAGCTATCTACCGAGCAAGCTTTCGTTATTACAGTGGGAATGTTACCCTATGAAGGCAATGCCTTGCAGGTTTCGTCCTCAGTGTCTCGTCAGACTCGAGATGCGACGCAGTAGGCTTGAGAAGCTGTGGGATGGAATACAGGTGAATGAATTTATTCACTATCCGTTGCAATAACTGTAAAAGAGTTAGTTTTCGGAGGATCAAATTTTTAATATTTTTTTTATTATTTTTTGAATTTTTTCAGCCGCTTGGGAGGCTCAAGTATATGAATTTGAATGGGTGTAAGAGCCTGAAACAAATTCCAGACCTGTCGGATTCCACCAGTCTCGAAAAATTGGAACTTTTGGATTGCAAAAGTCTGGTCACACTTCCCTCCTCTCTCCGGCAACTCAATAATCTTGAGGAGTTGTTATTGTGGGGATGCTCGAATCTTGAAGCTCTTCCTTCCGACAACATCGACTTGGATTCTCTCAGTCTCCTCGATCTTGGTTACTGCTCAAAGTTGAAAACTTTTCCCCAGATTTCAAGGAACATCGAGAAACTTAACATGACTTGTACTGCTGTAGGAGAAGTGCCTTCGTCAATCCAGCAATGGTCTCGGCTTACCGAAGTTGTCATGAACAGCTGCAGAAACCTCAAGACATTCCCACGTTTTCCAGCCAGTTTGAAGAATCTTTGTCTGAGCAACACCGAGATAGAAGAAGTTCCTCCGTGGATCGAGGATGTCTCTTCCCTCGAACTTCTATGGATGATTTCCTGTAGGAAGCTGAAGATCGTCTCGTCGAACGTTTTTAATCTGGACCACCTACGGGAGCTGGAACTCAGCGGATGCAAGAGCTTTGCAGACTTTCCTGCAGAAATGTGTTTGTTGTCTGAAAGGCGTTCAACTTCTGTGAGAGAGTTACGTTTCTCGGGTTGTGCTTTCGAGAGCATCCCGGACTTCATCAAACATCTCTCTGAGCTACAGACTCTTCGGCTCGACGATTGTAAAAATCTCATATCACTGCCAGAGCTTCCAGCTACTCTGCATACACTCCACGCATCTAATTGTAAGTCACTTGAGAGAATATCCGGCTCCTTCTCGACTCAAGGTAAAGTTCTCAACTTCATCAATTGCTTCAAACTTAACCAAGAGGCAAGAGAGATCATCCAAGAAGCAGATTTTGAGTTTGTGGAACTCTCTGGCGGTGAAATACCGAAAGATCCTCCTCTTCAAGCTACCGGAAATTCACTAACCATCGTTCTTGATCGAATGCGTAATCTTGAATCCCTCAGATTCAAGGCCTGTGTTGTGATTGCTGCGGGAACTATCCTCAAACATCAGCTTTCACTCAATGTCAGAATATCTTGTCGCTCGAGGGACAAATACGGTGGGTGTAAGCAGTATAGTTTGGTCAGAAAAGGACCAAGTTCCACGTTCTATAATGTCGGAGAATGCACTCTAGATGCAGAACATGTCATTATAGCTTCGGATGTCCATGCAGTCATTGGCAGTGATGTCCAAGTGGATGAAACAGCCCACAATGAATTGGTGTTTGAGTTCAGCTTAAATGATTGCCGGATAAGAAGATGCGGTCTCGAATTTCTGCAAGTTCGCTGACAGTGATCTCCATGAAAAAAATTATGAGAAGAGCTTTGGACATTGATTAGCACTGCACTAAGATGATGATGAAATAGAGGTCCATTTCATGCTTTTTTTTTCAATCTGGATTGACTGAGATATGTCTGAAATTCTCTGCTCTTAGTCTGTTTTAACCAGTCTTCTTCCTTCTTGTTCTGTCTGATTTTCTTTCCCTGATTAAGAGAAGATTTCTGTTACGTTTCAAATATGTAGCAATTATAATGTCAAACACATATGGATGTGTCCTGGATGAAGAAACGTTTCGGGTTGAGGCCGGCGGGAATTCCTTTTAGGCTTACGCATCCCCGCACGTCCAGATGCTCGAGTTCACGGAGGCCCCCGAGAGACGAGTGAAGTGTCACCAAACTTTTGCAGTAACTAAGAAGTAACGTCTTGAGATGCGTTGCCTTTGAAAGGTCGGGAATTTCTTTCAGATTGTAAGAGCGTCTCAAGTTCATGCGCTTGAGATTTCCGAGGGGCTGAAACGAAGACAAAACATATGAAATCTGTAATGATACAAAAATGACAGAAAGAAACAGATATTATCATCAAGTCTACTTACTTGTATTCCATCCCACAGCTTCACAATATCACTGAGCACGAGGTCGATTTCAACGAGAAATTTTGGACAAAACGTTGGTGGCAGAGTTTTCAAGGGACATTCGATCCAGTCGAGCAATCTTAGCTTACCGGGAAGATAGCTTAAGCCCTCGGGGAGACACAAATACCCCGAACGTTCATCATCGTATATACTTATGAACTGCGCATTCGGTATCCTTTCAAATGCCTTACCGCTTATACGTCGTCTATAAGCTAACTCCGATACGTCTAGCGATATACCTAATACTGATTCAGCAGTCTGAAACACATACATCATTCCACAAATAGAAGAATGGTTAGTATTATTGATTTGAGCTGTCGGACAGACCAAAAGTGAGACGTATGAGTATAAAAACTTACTGTTTCATTGGAAAGTATGTCATAGATATCGGTAGCATCCCATAGAAACTGGCGTTTTCCAGGATCGTCCCTTGACTGTCTGCAAACGATTTCTTCACCCATTTTTCGTAGTAACTTATGCATCTCTACATATCCATCACTGCGTATATGTATGAGAGACCTCTCGGCCAGGACGTTAAGTCCGAACTCGACGTCCAAGTCACTGTTTTCCAACATATCGGATATGAAATCGACATGTCCATAGTAGAACTGGCATGCGATATGAAGGAATATGGATTTATCTTTATCGGATAAACAATCAAACCCAACTCTCAGTACTTCCTCGATCTCACAATCAAGGCTGCTGCTTCCGAGCCTACGCAAAGCATGACCCCACTCGTCCTTTGGCCTTCCTCGCAGAGATGAACCCAAAACACTAAGACCCAGAGGAAGATTTCCGACAAGTTGAGTAACATGTACAGCTATGTCGTAAAACCCATACGGCGGAGAGCTTTGTCCGAACGCATGCTGAGAAAAGATCTGAAGAGCTTCGGAATTGGAAGGGAAAGGCACTTGGTATATATGGTTGATCCAATGAGCTCTTAAAAGTTGTTTATTTTCTGTAGTGACGATAATCCTACTGCCAGAGCCAAACCACTGCGGATTCTTGGCCAATGCTTCTAATTGCCCTCTTCTGTCCACATCGTCAAGAACCAGAAACACTCTGTGACGCCTCAGCCTTTCCGGGGCTACTCCTAAATGGTGTATCCTCAGATCCTTCTGGTCAAAGATTTCAGACAGAAGATGCTGCTGTAGATATAGTTTCGAGCCGTATTCATCGAGCATGGTTCTCCTGTAAGTTCCCTTGACGTTTGGCATGAAATAACTAAGCCGGAAGCTGGTAGACAATCTGTCGAATAAAGCTCTGGCGATGGTGGTCTTACCAATGCCTGCAGGTCCCCATATCCCCACAAATCTAACTTCCTTGGATTCCAAACCCAGCAATGAAATCATCTTTTGCATATGAGATTCGATTCCGATTATGTCTTCGAAATCTCTTGAAAGTGTAGAATTCAGCAGGTTTGAAACATCGGTGGCGATTTTTTTTTATCATGTCCGCTTCGCTTTCCCTA